AAGTTTGTACTGAGAACTAGGGACCCGATTTTGAATTTTTATTTATGGGAGTAATAGTATTTGGTTTTAAGTAAATAGATTAAAGAAGTCAAATGGTTACATGAAGATCATTTTAATTAGGGCAATTAATGTTGCTGTTAAGCAGCTGAAACTTTAAGGGCTTTGAAGTTATAAAATACACTTAATTTATCAAGGTATATGCTTTTATGCTGAGCATCTTGTGCATACAAAATTAATGCCACACATCTTCAGCACAAAATTTCTGTCAGTGACACAAGGCTGTGTCACCATTATTTGTGGTTTGCTGTTCTATAAAGGTAAGCTGTAAACTACAATTAAAAATCAACCAAATGCAATTTATCCTGGTACACATTGAAGAATATAACAGATTTTCCACAATATTTTATATTTTCAATAGAAAAATTCATGAAGGGGTATGTGTTCTGCTGTGTTGAACACAAGCAGATAGGTAAGACAAGCAGCACTTGTTTTTTGTGGAAACCCTGGGAATCTTGATCAAAACTTTAACAAATTCAGTCAAAAAATGGAGAACAATGCTATGAAAGTTTAGGTAAGCTCAGTCCTAGATTTAAACTTGGGTAACTTGGGTCATTTGTTAAACATAAACTGCCAAATCTTACAGCTGCTTCAAATCATTCTTGCTGAATGGCTTTTCAAACAGTCTCTTTGTGCCTTGTCTCAGGATGTATGAAGGATGTCAGATTTAATAACTACAGAATCCCTCTGGACACTCACGTGAAGGAGCTGGTGTCAGTATTAAGTGCTCAAGGCGTCAAAGGCTGTTCTTCAGAGGCTTGTAGGAATAACCCTTGTAACTGGGAATTTATTTGTATTGATTTGTGGTTGATGCATGAATGCAGGTAATTGGTGGAAATAAAAGCACAAACCCCTCCAGATTCAGGTGGGAGAGGGTGGATGCTGAAGAAGTGTGCAGCCAGAAGGCTGCCACTGACAATCTCATCAGATCAGCTGAAGCCCAGTGAAACACTGAGCTAGATGCCTGCACTGGCGTCAGGTTACTCAGAACTCAGTCCTTTTAGGTACTACCCTTGGCTGGTGTGAATCAGTGTTATCTCCATTGATTCTGTAACAGTTTTGGCTGCCTGTCTTAATTGGAAACGTTTAAAGAATAGCAGCAAATCCAGAATGTTTGTAACCTGTGGAAACCTGTGACACGTTCTGGTGAGGGGCAGGAAGGAAGGTGTGAATACACACCCCAGGCGCAGTGATGCAGCGGGAAGGGAGCAGCTGCCCCGCCCGGCGCAGGGCGCACCGCCGGGTACCGCCGGCTACCCCAGTTCCAGTCCCGAGGTCCCCTCGATGCTGCTCCACAGAACCACGCTCGGCCGTGCAGCTGCTCTGTAGGAGCCTGGTCTCTAATTCACTGCATTATCAGTTTATGGTATCCAGTGGTTTGAGGTCTTACTTACAGAGTTGGTAACACACTGGTAAACAAGTTTCTAGTCACATAATGTTCAGTATTTGATGCTGAAGCTTTACAACTTGTCAGTGTGTAAAATGCACCTAAGGGTTTAAGAAAAATGTTTAAAACCATGGATGCTAAGGCAAAATGCACCTGATTTTTTTTTTTTTTCCTAGTGACATGTATGTGTAATTTCCCAGTTTGTCTTGTGTCTTCTTCTGCTTCATTTCTGTGTAACTGTATCTGTTACTGTCAACACATTGTTACTTAAGTGCTACCCCTTGTATACATTTTCTCCTACAAAGTTTAACTCAATACAGTAAATAAGTCTCTGAACAGCACCGGGGTCAATCAGTTCTTTAACAACTTCAGAGTTGTACTTTAAAGGGTATTTTAAAATGCTCTTTAAAGGCCTTTTCTTCTGTAGATGATGTTCACTTGTAACTACATGGAAGAGTGCAAAAATCAAACATTTGCTGAAAAGCACAAAACTACATCCTTGTGGGGTCTGCCTGCAAACAAGTGCTGCTGCACGCCCACAGAGCGGCTGCTGTCCAAGCAAGCCATCCTGCAGCACTTCAGGATATAGATGTTTTATTTGTTTCTGAATGACGTTCTGTTTTGCTCCCGTGTGTTCACACAGCTCTGCTCAGTGCTGGGTTCTGGAGGGCTCACTGGAAGGCTCGCAGAGGTCCGGAGGGAGGAGTTTACCATGTATCTGCACATCATGAGGCTTTGGATGACATCAGAGAAAATACCCTCAGCTGCAGTGAAGAAGGAGGTGCGGAACAAGACCAAGTAAGGATCACTGTGTTACATTACAATTAAGAAGGGACTGGTGGCTCACTATTGCTATTGAAAACATGTTATGCTTTTCCTTTACAAGTGAGGACCTTTGCCTTTGTTCTGCTGATTCATTACTGCAATTGATAGATGAATTATTTGCAAGATGAGGTACATAAGGGTGCATGTTTCTTAAGCAGAGATAAGTGCCTATCAATTTTTAATTTGTCTTAAAACAAGTGATCCTCTGTGCATATTTTAAAACGCTTGTAGAGTGAGATTAGCAGTAAAGAACAAACAGCTGATGTTTTTGGTTTCGTGGCTCGGGAGCCGCTCAGGTTCTCTGTGGTAATCACGGCTGTAGCACTGAGGGCTTGAAAGAGCCTGATGTGAATTGTTCTTCACAGACAGTCCTTTCTGAAGACTGTTTGTAACAGCGGTTACCCACACTTGGCTTGTGAAGAAAGCAAGGTACTACATTTGTTCCTCTCAAGCCCTAAAGCACGTGGTAGTTTCAGAAGAAACTTTCTGCATTTTCCTGCATTTTCCATTTGGAGAGAAATATACTAGTGAACACAAGCTGTGTTTATACTTACACTAGACCTGATTATACCCAAACCAGGTAATATTAACGTTTCTGCTAGCTGTTTTCAGGATTTCTGCATGTTCAGTTTAAGGCTGAACTTTGAAAGTAAACTGTAGATATCATAGATGAGTAATTTAAACAGATTATTTGCTGACCCAGAGATGTTTGCCATGTTTAAAAAAAGGTAAGGAACTTTATTGCCGCCTTTGAAACTGTACATTTCATGGATTCACAAGGTGGTGTGACTCTGCAGAGGTAATGATAGGGCACTAATGAGATGGGTCAAAAAAAGCCAGTGATTTAAAAAAAAAAAAAATTAAATGTGATCTGTCCCAAAATTCCAAATATCTTCAAGAATTTTTAGTTATAAATTATAGAGTGTTTTACAAGGCCACCTGAGAAAACATTCTTATTTGTAGAGTATCCTTAATTTCTTCATGAATTAGTATGAACTTAATAAATACAGGGACATTTTCCATGTGATAACAGACAGCTGTAAGCATAAATCCTATTTACCTTAATCAGATTAACTTCCTCTGCAATACTTCGCATTTTTACACTCAGAAGGTCTATAGATTGAGGAAAACCACAGTTACTGTATGACATGTTTAATTACTTTTGGAGAGCTCTTAAACTACACTTCTTATTTTAAGCAGAGGAATCAAATTAGTGACTTGATGATCTTTACCTGAGGCCATTACTCTGTCTTGATAAAATGCTGCTCGGAGTGAAGTCTCTATGGGTTCTGTATAGGATTGCTAGGATTGCAGGTAAAACTTTCCAGTGTTCTTTCTAATACCTAATTGTTTGTCTAGATTGAAAAAAAGAAAACAAAATACAAGGGAGTTTTGTCTTTGTAATGTTAGCGGAGGGTAGGGCTAGGGGCACAAGAGGCTGTCTTATTAAGGAGCTTCTGCACCTGAAATAAATAAAACTATCCCTCAGAGAAATTAGGAGTTCATAAAAACTGTAGTAGATTAGTGCACTGTTGAGTATAAACTTAACACAACTGAACACCAAGTGTTGTTAAAAGCCAGCTCTGAAGCTGGAGGCAAGGAGCGACTTGGGTTTCTGGACTGCCAACTAAGTGGTATATAACCAGAAAAATGACGTCTTTTTAATGAACAACTAATAGCAGTGAAGGATGACTTTAATATCACCAAGTTCACTGAAGGGACGATCCTTAAATCTGTATTCGGACAAACTCGTGTTTAAATTTTGTACAATGAATAGTTGCCATTTTTATTGATTGTACTGTAGCCATGCTATGATAAAATGCTCACAGTGGGATCATGCTGTAGTTTGCGCTTACTCAGAACACGCCTAAGACAGGCAGCAGTGCTGTAAGTCTCCCATTGTTCATCACTAACAATATTTAGTCTCTGGAGGAATGGAAATAAGCAGTTATTCTGTTAGAGTCGTGTCCCAAACCCTGGTCTAGCCGCTTACATGGCTTCTTGACTGCAGGTGGGGATTTTTTTAAGCAGTTCTCTGTCTCTGATTTGGAATTCAGCAAAGCTCACCAAGATTACCTAGGATAATCTCTCATAAAATGGTTATGCACAGTGCAGCATGTGAGAGAATAAAAGTAATCTTTTGGAGAGTGGTGACTTGACAGATCTGTCATCGATGGCTGCTATTCAGGTGAGTAGCATGAGCAATGCAAATCACTGCCTGTTTGCTGTAATGAATTCTGTCTCACACAGCTTGTCAGCATTCTTCTTTGGCCTGTACATAAGTCTAGAGACACAACCTCTGGAGTGTAAGAAGGTGAAGGATGCTGTAGGACAACACTTCTTTCAGCTGGCATAAAGATTCTGATCGGTTAATGCAATTAGCATGTATGGTAGTGGTAGCTTTAGTGCCAGAAGTTGCACTTCAGGAACTGTGGAAGAATTACAGGGCAGCATCAACTGCTGTTGCACTAGAAGGCGGTTGGTTTGTTTGTTTGTTTTGTAATAGGTAGTTACTTGGCTTTTACAATCATGCCTCTTCCATATAACATAACTAGCTATTATTGCACAGATGATAAAATTTCAACAGAAATCACAGTAGCTGTTTGAACTAGTAATGCAGAAAGATTTCTTTTGACATGCTATTTGTGAATAGCCTTTCTCACTTTTGTTGCCACACTCGGTATCAGTGTTTAATGATGATAAAATATTCAGAGCTGGATTCAGAGCAAAATTTGGGGCATTTCTGTCATTTTTATTTAGCTTCTAATATGGAATTAGACTTGATTTTGAACATAGCTATAGTAGTGCAGGCTGCACAGGTGCTCCTCATGCATCCTCATCTGCTTAGCAGGCTTTGGCTTTCTTAAGGTGGCAGAGTTGGTTGAACAAGCACATCCTTCACATTCACACCAGATGGACCGCCTCGGGATTGTTCTTTCGTTATTTCCACTAGAACGTGAAATTTTGAGACCTACAGAGGATATTAATTTAACATGAATGGTTTCTCACTCCAGGATGCATACAACATGGCAGAACTCCAGGTGTCTATTCAAACCAGCCCAGTCTATTCCCTCTACAAGAAGAAAGAAAACCCCACAAAACTGAGCAGTTTCTTTAGCGACGTGTCCCAGAGCTCGCAGGAGCAGACCAAACCATCAGCGCCTACAGAAGCCCTTTCACTAGCCCGGGCTTGGGTCAGCACTTGCCCGCTGTTGCAGGCCGTCACCCCGGCGCCGGGCCCCAAGGCTCACCGAGGGCTCAGCACCCAAGGGGAAGGCTGGGGTGCTGGCAGGCTGAGGGTATAGGGTGTGGGGACCAAAGTTTGAGAAACTAAGTGAACTGTACTCACATAAAGATGCAGAAGACCTGTAGACTACCCACTCTACCATCTTCAAAGTTTTGGAAGCAAGCACGAAGGACAGTTTTTCATGCTCCTGCTACCTACTACCCTCTGTCCCCCCTTTTTTTTTTCCTGTTATGATAGGCGGTCAAATTCCCACTAATGAGCCACACTTCACATCTAACTGAAAAATTTAGAAGTAGGATCTATTCTTGGGGCATTCTGGACCTTTACATTTGGGGATATAAACTTTCTGGAAAGAAGAAAATGAGAACTTGGGCTGCTTAGTCATTCACATACAGTGCTTAAGAAATAGATTTTTTTCGTCACTAAGGTAATAAAGGACTCTCTGAGAGATCCTATGTACTTAAGCTAAGGTGGTGCTCAAAGCATGAAGCAAACATGCTGTGTGTACTGTTTTCAGTAGGAGCTTTAGCAGTTATTTGAAGAAAAAAAGCACAATGTCTTCTTGTGGAAATAGTGTCCATGTTTGTATTATATCCATCTTGTTTCCCTCACTGAGCCTGAGCTACAGCAGCTGCTCACTGAGCATAGTGCAGAGGAGAGTGTGGATCCAGGCAAAGGACTGAAGGAGGATGGACAGTGGTCTTTAGTTGCAACTTAATGAAATCCCTTTACGCTGCCATATAAATGCAGAAACTGAATTTAGGCATAATGCATCAAGTCAGCAGCTTGCAACTAATACTTTCCTTAATTAAAAGGCCAGGTTTTCTAACATACTAGTCTCAAAGGTTACTAGTTAGGAATTTCAGTAGCAAACACCACAGTTCACCATAATCGCGCATTCCTAATGGTCTCTTAAACTGAGGACCAGCCTGAGCCACGTCATTTGCATCTACACTCCTGTCCCTCAGGTTGTGCTAAACCTCCCTTCATAGAAGCTGTGCAAGAGTGGGGTTGGAGAGGCTGGAGCTTGGCTGTTTTAGTAGAACTGCTGACTCCAGTTGTAGCCAGGTAATGCCCTGCCAGGAAGAGCTGACTGGGGAGAGATGCGTTTGCAGTGAAGAAAAAAACCCACCAACCTTTGGATGTTGTCCAAATACCTAGTGTCTTTAGGATGTCAGAAGACTGAAGGTCTTTCCTGTATCCAAAAAAGAACTTCACCCACCACTGGGACTAAAACTAAAACCCTGTGACAAACAAAACTCTGCAAAAAGTCTAATAATGCAAAGATGGTAATTTTTCAAAACCCAGGAATGACAGCACATAATAATGCAGGCCTCCCTCAGACACATTTTATTAGAAAGTCATGATCAACTGGGGACAGAGACACACATGGGAAAACTAAGAGCAGTTGCAGGGGGTGGAATATTATGCTCCAAATATCAGTCCCTTTTTCAGACCACTTAATGTCCAGCCAGTAGTCCAGATTTTTTTTTAAACTTGACGATATTTGGAAGAGAGAAGGCTCCATAAAATTATTTTTGATTTCTTTTTTTAAAATTGATGTAATTTATGTATATCAAGTGCAGCAAGAACACAATCTCATTCTGTGCTGTTTCTTTATATATTTTAATATATAAATTATATATAATTATCAGCTGATACTATGAATATATCCTGTAGATTCTAAGATAATTTCTTTCGTTATCACAAAGCATAAAACAATGTATTGTAAAAGACACTAAAACTGCTTTGCTTACAGTTGCATTTGTAGCTTGTTTTGGGAAGTCTGGCTTTTATTTTCATCCATATATTAAAAAAACATAAACGAAAAGGTCAGTGCAGTCTGCAGGCTAGATTAATTTGCACATTTCCAAAATGAGAAATGTTCAAACAGTATCTTGTTCTTATGTGCATCTGCCACGCATTTTGGAAAATCTTGAGCACACAATTAACCAATGGTTACACACTGCAAATGATGCAGCATTTTCACATGGAAAAGCTAAATGCCATTTTTACCCGTGCCTAATAGTTTTGATTCACAGATGTTATGTAGTCTATGATTTTGTAATTTTACTGATACATTTACCTGTAAGGAAATGTAGGCGACAATATCTTACAGTGTTCACGGGACAGGTATGTCAGCTTCTGTATTTCATTAGCATAGCAGTCACAAACAGGATATGGAAAATGAAGTAAATATAGATTATGCACAAAAATCTATTTCTTCCCCAAACAGCAGTGATTTTCTCTACATACCTTGTGTTCTTTCCATAACTATGGATACGCTGTCATTTTGGCTGGTTTTAATTTAATTTAGCTTGTAAGCTCCTTGGGGCAAAGATTGTCTGGATTTGCCTGTGAAGTGTGATGCGTAGCTAAGGCACCATATAAATAATAAACAAGCCTTCTGTATATGATGTCTCTTCCTTGCATATATTGTAAGGTAGACTAAAGTTTGGACTTTGAATTATTTCTCTCTCAGCTTAGATGAGATACTTCCCCAGACATGCATCATGCACGCTGCTCTGTCTGAAAAGCTGAGGGAAGCTGCAGTTGATTCTAACTGACCTGTGGACTCGAGCTCCAGTTCCACACTCGGAAGCCAAGTTACCGCTCCTGAGCATCCCCATGGGCTGCAGCTGCCTGGCGCCACAGACCAGTGCTTTTCTCCCATCTCCAAGTGCTTTTTGCGTAGAGCACGGTTGTGGTTTTTGCCACAGCCAATTTGTCAAAGGAGAAAGAAATCCTTAACTTTATGTTCAGTAGAACTAGTCAATTTGTTACCCATAGGGTTGTTCCCTATTCTGGCATTTTAGGTGCTGAGAAGCAACCGAGATGTAGGATGTGCCCTGTGATCCTTAATGTTCACAGTGTGCCACAGGACGTGTACTGGCACAGAAAGTAGATGGTCAAAAGATCTCCAGGCTCGATGGGCAGGACAAACTGCAAGGCACTAAAATACATCTCAAAACACTTCCGTTCCTCTCCTTCCTTTTCCTCCCCAGCCCATGATCTTAACTCATTCTCACATGAATACCAAGTTGAGGTTTGCACCAAACTGCTGTCAGCAGAGGAGTCAGTGGTGCTTTGCTCTAAATGCATCACAGTTAAACCAATTCCTGGGCTCCTGGGAAAACACTTGCCTCTCTCAACTTCCCTTCAAATACCGCACCTGCAGAGTCTTCTGTGATACAGAGGTCTCGGTCCCATGCACTTCACTGGTCACTGGGTGAGGGTGAGAGCAAGTCTGAACCCCGTTCCGCCGCTCGGTGCCTGGAGCTGCCTGGCACAGGCGCAAGCTGCGGAGCTCCCGCTGCCCTCCCAAACAGGCATCCTGGAAGCCAACCTGAAGTTTTTGTTCTACCACTGCTTCTCCCCCTAGTACAGCCGTGGCACTGGTTTGTAAACAAACATACTAACAACCTCAACCTCAGAGCTGCTTGTGTAACTGCAGCCGGCCATACGTTTTACAGAATATACAGTATAAGACAAAAGGTCAGAAAACATTTTAAAACTGCTGTAGGAACTTGTGTAGATACAATCTTAGTAATAGGACATACTCATTTGCAGCTGTCATGCCCTATTAAAACCTGCTTTTCTTCTTTCTAAGGATTATTAACTAGTTCACTTAATTTATGTTTTAATTGGCATGCTGCTCTTTTAATTACTGTGCAGTTTCTGAAATCATATCTTCACTTGTTCTGCATTCACACAGACATACAGACATATTTCAGTACCTCTAAAAAAAAGCTTATCGCAGTGTAGCACTGACATTGCTCAAGAACAGGAACAGCTGGCTTGACAACAGGAATCTGCAGTGTGTGAGGGGGGGCAAGAAAAAAAATGGAATCGAAATCATTGGGTCCCTAGGTAGTGGGATTTTCAGTAATCTGGTACTTTTATGAATCTACCATGTTCTTTATAGACTTTTAACATGTAGTAAGAACATTTTATTTAGTAACAAATATTTGTAAAGGTCTGAAATTTAAATAATCATGTGGATATTAGTATTTAATCTGTCTGCCTGTCAACTACATTAATATTGGTGTTTTTCCCCTTTTAAAGTAACATTCCAAGTATATAACATCTAGCCAAGCCATATGAATGCTGGTTGTCCTTAGGTCTGACTACAGGTTAGTACTAGCCACCAGAACACTCAGATTTATAAAACCTTACCTATAACAGGACATCCTAATTCAAATATAGCACTTGATACGTGTAATTTTTCCCTCCCAAAGAATGCGTGTTTCTTTTCATTTTGTAAGAATACAAAAGCTTACCAATGGGGAAACAAGCAGATCCCCATTGGTCAAAGCAAATTATATTGACGTAAATGGAGTAACTGCCTCAGTCTACTGACCTTGCTAAATTTAATGTGTGTTGGGTGATAACAGGTAGAAATCATGGCTGATACACCTTCACCTTGTAACAGAGAAAGGAAGTCCAGCAAGCTGTTAAAACACAAAGATGATTCAGAAAGTCAGTGATACATGCAATGTAACAAAGCTTGAGAAAAGTCAAAACTTTCTCTGCTGAAAAATACTTTGTTTTCCTCTGTATGGGCTGAAACAAAGGTGATTCCCTAACTGCACCTTTCTCAATCCATCCCAACATAAAAAACCAAAAAAGTGATCTTCAAATTACACAATTTATTTAGTATACAATAGTCATTACATCTCTTTACAACAACATATTATAAAATAACTATGTTAGATCCCACTGGCAGACATTGAAACAAATAATGAAAATATACTTATGGATCTCAAAGGCTCTTCTCCCCTAAAACATTCTGGCTACTCGGTAACATTTTGTATCTGCGATCTAATAATTCATACCACAGTTCCACTGATAATGCGCAGCTTCAAAGTCCTTGTGGACAGCAGGCAAGGCAGAGAGGAAGTCCTGATGGTGCCGTTCCCAGTGCTGGTTATTTGTAAGACTTCAGTAGAGGCACTGCCACGAGGGCTGCGCCGTACTCAGTGCAGTGACACGGTGGTGCCACAGCGACTGCTTGGAAATAAGGTGCAGCAGGATGATGTAGTTCAGGAACAGGTAAGAGTATTATTAAAAAACCTGCACATTTTTAATGCAGTGAATATAAACCACAGCAAGACACAGAGAGAGAAAATAATTACCAGACAGCTAAACCACCACCTACTTCCTAGACGTCTCGGACTGACCCCCCGCCTGTAGAAGAGGACACGTAGCCCTTCTCGCCACCCGCCCCAGGCCGCGCCCCAGACGAGGGGCAGAGGAGCAGCTGCTCCCCGCAGTGCTGTGCTGACACCTGCGTTGCTTCCCTCTGAGCTGGTAAGTGGTTTTGTTCCTTGGCATTTTCTGTTGTACCATTATAAAGAGATTGGTGTTCTCAACACCGTACTACATACATAGTCACTGAAAGACACCCTTCCCTTTAGTGATAAATCTTCCTGATACAGGAACTGCTGGGATTGTTCAGCAGTGTCACAACCTGTCTAGGCTTTAAAGACTCTGAACTGCAGGAGTTAAGCAATCTCCAAAATACTTTGTATCTAAAACTACAAATTTCTGGTGTGTTACTTTGGGGAGTGTTTGTGTTGCAAGAAGAAACTGTTGCTGCTGTGGTTCTGGATCATAACAGCCACTGGTTTTTATGCTTTCCCAAGACCAAGGTAGCTTGGGGTCTATTTTGTTTTAAAAAAAACCCCAGAAACAAAACAAAAACTTTTGCACTGGGTAGTTCCTACAAAAAGGTCAAATCTCTCCTTTGGCAACATTAGAGACTATTTTTGAAAAAAGTCTATTTAAAACTAATTACTGTTACAGTCAGGACTTCTTAGTCTCAGCTGTTACCTACAAGTAAATTCTGAAAATGACAGGGGATACCACTGGATCTGGGAATTTCTCATTTCAATCAGAGGAAAGCTACTGCACCTTCAAAGAAAGATACAACCACATTTTAAAGTAAGACGCTACAGCCTAGACATATTTTACCTTACGTGTGCTTGTTTTCAGTTACTGTAAGGCACTCATTGAGGAATTCACTGACCCATGCTTTCAGCAAGAACAGGCATGCATTATTACAGGCCTAATTAAAGTTTTAATACTGATTAAAATATTTTATTATTGTATTATGTTAAACTGCAGTGGTCTCCAACCTCATTAAGGGATACAGGCTAGAAATTACTCAGGAGTTTCAGTTGCTCAGTTTAACAACCCAGCTACTGTCAATGTTTGATTTAAATACAGTCTGATTAAAGCACACTTTCCTTTTGTGTTAGCATGGAAGTGCAGAAAGATGTTGAACATTGTTTAATGAGTATATACTGAATATAAAATTGTTTGAGCATCTGAAATAACCATCTCCATCTCTTCAGTAATTTAGCTTAGTACAACTGAAAAGGGAAAATACTTAAATTGTTTGGAATTGGAATACAGCTCAGTCGTGAAAGCTAATCTCATTACACATCCTGATTAAATTACATGTGGCATTTGCTCTCAGTCGCACTTTAAGTTTCCCATCATTAGAAATTAATTGCAGTGGTAATTATTATAACTGAGTTATTTGCACAGGCCACAAACACTCTTATAGGTGTTTAAATGTTAATTCAACATTGGCCTACAGGCACTTGATTATTACAATTCTGTTTTTCATATGAAACAAATGATCCTAGTAGATGTCTAATTAAAGTTGGAGAGTACTGTTAGACTTTCAATCAGATTTAATCTCTAATTTCAATATAAAACCAAAGCAGCACTAAAACACAGCAAAAGTCACGTGTTATCTACATAGCATTTAGAAAGTCAATACACAAAGTTCTAGCTGGTAAAAAGACAAAAGGTACAAACAAATCACAAAATTCTCAGGATTGAGGCCTGTCTTCACTTAATCTTCCAAGTCAATTTAAAATACCTGTAGTTTCCTTTTTAGGATAAAGAGCAGGGACATAATGATTTTCTGCTGAAATACATACCTTTGTATCTGAAATAATGTAAAGCAAAGCTCTAATACCTGAACATACTGTAAATACCTAATTTTCGTGATGATTTTAGAGATGAATATTTCTTTTGGAAGGTTGGGAGTGTTCAATTTTGGTATCCTACTGGAATTCACACGGGGGAGTAAACGATCCCCTGTAGTTCAGAAAGCAAATACAGAAAATAGTACTGTGAGAATCCAATATGAGAAGTTTGTTTTTTTGTTTGTTCTGAGCATTTTATGAGGATACAAACATGCAACATGTATCAAGCATGCTCCAACCTTTATTCTCATTAGAAATACATAACACTCCATCATTAAATCCTTAACATTATAAAAAAGTGTGTTTCTGTATCACAAAAAATGCTGGACAATGGATTAAGTTTTACTCTTCAAACTTATTTGCTGATTCTGCACTCACAGATTCTGCAGTCACACTCACAAGCTTGGAAACTCATTTTCGCATACATTCCCAAAGAATTCAAAAAAGAGGCACTGAAAGAGCACAAGGATCTGTCAAAGGGGATCAGATTGCAAGACAAAACTTAATTTTTGTGACCATTTTCAGGATTCACAAAGATAATGCTTACTCAGTATAGGTGCAGCATGGCCTGCTTTCATTGAATGTCTGTCATTTTATAGTAAAAATCCAAACTGCTGAGCAGAACTTCATAGGCTAGCAGCAGCGGTCATGCAGGCTGCTTGTTTTGTGTGTCTTCCAGTCAGTTAAAACTGGAAAACAGTTATATCCTTGGTATTCAGAAGGTCAGACTTGATAATCAAAATGGTCCCTGCTAGCATTTATGAATCTCTGAAAATTTTGACAACATCAAGAATGTTACCAAAACTAAACTGTCTAAAAAAATAAGTCACAGTAATTAAACAAGAAACCATCAATGTAAAATGTCTTACAAATGTAACATGTTTGTAAAATTCTGTATTTTCTAACGTGGGTCCTAACATTAAAATACTGAACTTGAAGCCATGGTTGAAAAAGTTATTTATGCTTAGCAAGTTTGTAAACATGGAATGTTTTGTTTTGAAACACTCTAGTGAAGTGTATGGTATAAGAAGGCAGGTTTTTTTTAATTTCCTCACAGAAGCGAGGATACAACGAAGGTTTCAAATCAGGTTCATTCTCTCCCAAACCATCCATGATCTGTAATGAAATTGAACAGATTTGTGAAATATCTTTAGTCAATTCACAGTTGCAGGCAATAACATGGAGCTAAAAACAGTCTCAACAATATATTCAGAGTGTCAGGCTGGCCAGATATCTTAACAGTGACTGTATGAAACACGTGGGAGGAGGAAAGTAACATTAAAACAGTAAGATTTATAGTATTGTCTCTATTATGGATAAAGCTGATTTGTCAGAGGCACGTAGCTGCTGTGGGTTATGCAGTCTGCTGCAGTTCTCTGTTAGTCCCAGAAATGCTTGAAAACTCCCCTGACACAATGGAGTAATACAACTGTCCACTGGTCTTGAGGGAACTGAAGCTGTCGAGTGATTTACACTCTGAAAGGGAACACTGTTTGTGTACTGCTAACCTGAAGCTCATCAGGAAGTGATGACTTATTTTGCCCAGGCTAAATTGTTTTATTATCAGACACCGTTCAAAGCAAGCAGTGTTCAGTTTGGCGATTCTGAGACTGTCCGATGGCTCCATTAGATTTTACTTCCCATGCTCACAATGAAGTGAAAACAACCCAAGCTACTTCAAATTGTAATTGTATTTCAAACAAGAAGCTAAGCAAAACGTATTTCCTTTATAAATCTTGTATATAATACTTACATGGCCATTAGCTACATCAAGTAGGTCACGTAACCGACAGCCTCTGCTGTGTCTTCTTTCGTAACAAATGCTGTCTTCTAGGATCACATAGTCTGTGCCAAAGGATTGCAGTATTCTGTAAACGTCTTCAGGAGATCTCTTGGCGTAGATCTGATAAATCTATAGAAGAAAACTCAGCTGTAAGACATGTGACATTACCAATATTACTTTGATTGCTCTTTCATGATTCCTTAAACCAGAAGAATTGAGATGGATGATCCATGTGATTTTAATTAAAAAAAAAAAAAAAAAAGCAGCTTTATTCAGTAGCCACTTTGAGTTTCTATGCCACTATGATGTACAATAGTGCTGCTGACCACAAAAACACTGGACGGTGTTGCTGTCTGTAGAAAGGCCTTCGCAGATGCATTATAGGAAAGGATACTTTGAAACAGGCTCCCCAGCTCTGTGTGGAGTTTCTCAAGATTGTTTCTACATAAATTGTCATGAAGGGAGTATCAGGCAAATCAGGAAAAGCTCCATGTGGGTTTAACAGCCCAACTGGACAGCAGGATCTATTAATGCCAACAGTACTCAAAGCAGTTCACTCAGTACTAGCTGGAGCACCTAGGTACAGTTATTCAGACGTACACCAGTGGCCAGAAGGGAGTCTGCAGATGCCCAAAGTACTATGAGTTTTGCAGAAGCTAAATTCTGGAACTGCATCTGAAAATAAGTTAGTTCAATGAGTAAAGCACATTATGTCATTTGCAATGTGCCATTAAAGATTGCATGTGCTTTCTGAAATGGAGCCACTGATATGGATAAGAATTAGCTTAAACAATCAGAATACTCTTACCTGTTTTGTTCTCTCTCTCAGATTCTTATCCTCGTAATGGGGATGATTAGTTAAGGTCCGTCCAGTGCACAGTTTGACTCCCGCTAATAGCTGCATGCTCCCAGCAAACACTGCTGTGTTTGGAGTGTTTGACCTAAACAAATGTTGATAAGTCTGAGGAAGTCTCTGTGGGGGCATTTTTGCATTGCTTGATACAGATCAGAAGGAAAAAAAAGACTGAAAAATTATTTTTCTGCCTCTATTCAGGGAGCAAACTGTTCGAGCAACTGTGTTTTCTTCAAATATGAAGAGGACAAATCACAGTAATACTCTCTAACTGCAAATAAAAAATTTACTACGCACTATGAGGAAATCTGGGGAAAACACGATCCTAAAAATTTCTAAGTATTTCCATATTTCATATATATCTTGGGTTCATGGCGTCTCTGAATATTTGTAAATTTCTATATCCTGATTCTTTTCATATTTCAAGAAACGTATTTTGACTTAGATTTGTGTCTGATATATAAGGTATTCTATATAAAATGGATTATTTAATCTGAATGCTAGAAGCTCTTGTTGCTGTCCTGGTATTCACCATTCACTTGGAATGAAAACTTTGTTATGTGAGACATTAATCCTCCTATTATGAAAACTGTGGGACAGGAATATGAAAAAAATCGCCCTAGTTGCAAAAAGTGGGGCAGGGGGGATGCAGAAGATGCCAGATAGAAATGCTGTCAGTTATCGGTACTGTGATCTCATCTGAAATTCAAAGCCAATGTCTGGAATTCTTATCTAAATAACAGTCTTGGTATCTCAGGATTGTTTAAATAGCCATAATGAAAAAATGATTTTTTGCTCACCTTCCCCCCAACAAGTTTACAATCTACGATATACGTAAAGACACAACAGAAGGGCATAACAAAAAGTAAAAATGCCAGGCCACAGAGACTACTATAATTAAGCTAATTGAAAATAGTTATAGTATACTTCAGTGTTTTCTAGCACTTAGCAGGCATACAACCATGAAAAGTTCTATAAAGACTAAAACAACGGAAAGCAGGACACATTAAATCATGTAAAATGAAATTCAAAAGGAATGTGAACAGTTGCCTAACATCCATGTACATGCCCACATGGCACCTACAGTAGTCACAGAACCGTGACACTTTTGGGAGCGCTTTAGGGAGCCTTTTGAAACTGCAGCTCTATATTCAGTCTTCTTTAAGCTCTATGATTGGCTTGAAAATGTTAAAAGACAAGTATTAGATTTTACCATTGTCTTTCAAGAGATTATGCTTAGCAAATAATTAATAATTACAAACCCTTTCTAAAAGGGCTTGTAATTATTAAAGGCACTGGTATATTAATCTCATCTAGGAAGGAAAGAGATAGTATTTTTAATAGGCCAGTTTAACTTTACTGATAGACTAGTTTTTCATCAGTTTATAAAACCAGTTTCATTTTAAAGTCTGAAAATATTTAATATAAATTAAAAACTTCTTTACTTAAAATATTTAAAGCCATAAGTGTAATGAAGTAAATGTTTCATTATAAGAAATTGATTCATCTTAGAAATTAGTATTATGAAAATGTAATGGCCCTGACAGGCTGTCAGCCAGGACTTATCCCTGAATCTGGAGCAAAGCACAAGTCTTTAGACTAAGCAGAAAAGAATGTGGACTAGAAGGACTTGGTGGATCTTAGACATTTAAATGAATATTATGATTCTCAAAGCACCTTCAACATGTTTCTGTGTTTATTCCTGGGCTGGGAAACTTCTAGTGCAAAAAGTCTGTTTCTGTGTTTGTTCAAGATTTGTTCAAATTTTATAATGCTCTGCAGTACCTATTTTCTGACTTGGCCTTATCAAGGCAATCCTGCACCTCTGATTCCTAAAGAGACCAATATAACGCAAACTTGCAGAATCAAACTTCCTTAAAAAAAAACCCACAACAAGTACCAAAGGCAAAATGACAAGAAAACAAAAGAAAACAACACAATCCCAAGAAACTGCATGCAGCCTCTTTTCTTACAAAAGAAATCTAGAGGAAATTGTGATAGTGCCCTTTTTCCATAATTTACTGGTAAAAATGCTTGTCGAAAATGTAGAAGATGCAAGGTTCAATTCCTCACCTTCCTAAAAGCATTCACTCTTGCCCAGAAGGGGTGAAATATAACTGAGTGCATTCTTTCTTTACCAGGAATTAAGAGTTTTGCCAACTCTTCCTCCTATACCTTACAAGCAGTGTAGTGACCCTCGCTTGCTTTTCAAAAAACTAGCTTACATGCCTTGGTCCTGGAGGGAGTTCAAAATCAGGTATTCCAGGTGAAGGCAAATGTTTCCCTGAGACTCAAGAGTTGCCTGTTTGAAGTCCCTAGAAAATTACATGCCTTAAGACACACCACTGTCCATATTTTACTGGGGCCAGCTCAGATGGTTCCCAGGCCACCGTGTGCTACTACCAGAGTTCCTGGAGACGCTCTTTTCCCATGCACTGCTGGCAATGCCAAGAACACAAACCTGGCACTGGATTTCCCTGCTGCGGGCAGACACTTGGAAGCTGGGAGGTGACACAGCCTCGTGCAATGTCTGCCCTCCTTAACTACATCTTAAGGAACTTCAGCTGGTGGCCGTAACGGAGCGCTTATCTCCTGAAACAGCCACTAGAGGGAGACACGACTATTAACTAATATTTTTCAGGTACAGGATGATTTCTACATTTCATGCAAGTCTCTTTCTCTAGTACTCCTACCTGAGTCAGACACTAACTGCTGCGGTCTGTATCCAAGGCAGCTAATGTGCTTCATACCACTGAATGACACTTCTCTATTACAGAAAAATGAAGCAATTTTTACAAATGTCTGAACAAATGATGTATAAAATGAAAGCATAATTTGTTTTTATAGCTTTCTGCCAAGCTCCATACCACACTGCCCAACCTGCAAACAATTTATTCTGTATGAAATGTCACTAAATAATGAGAAGGACTTACAGGTCAAGCTGATTTACATTATATAATTTACATGTCATTCCAAGCAGACCTGATGGCATTTCGAACAAATAATCTCATTTATTTTTGAAGCTCTAAGCTTTCAACAAGTTAATTACAGCTTAACTACTGGGTAAACGAAGCACTATAATACATTGTATGAAGCTTTTCTTTATCTACATTTAAGCATTTACAGAATTATATAAATATTAAAGAATAACTCATTAAAAATAAAAAGGTTCTACAGGAACTGTAGAACAGACTCTAAAAGTGGTAGTAATTCCTTCTCTTAAGCTGCTAAAGAATTATTGTGAGTTGGTTTTAAAGAAGCCCTACAGAAATGGCCAACTTTGCAATTATAGGTGATAGCAGTAAAAATAAAATGGCTATGTCTATTAAAAGTCCTCCAGAGTTGAACTCTGTAGTTGGCTTTTAAAGCCATAAAATCTGACAAATTTCAGATTATTCCTTTACTGGTGCCTGGGTATGATATGAATCTACAAAGCAAAGGGGTGTGAAAAAAGGAGAGTCTGAAAAGGGGTTCTCAAATATGCTATGTTAAATTTTTTTTATCTTTAAAAGAAAGTCTTTTTATTTGCAGAATGCTATATGAAAATATTACAGGTTTAGCTGCAAATGACAGGCAGTAAAGCATATTCAGACAAACTGTCATGATTCTTTTTTTTCCCTCTGGTTTGGAAAGACTGAAAATTGCAAAAATGGAAAACAACAGCCACAAAGAAAGAGCAACAAGATGCATTTTTGTTAGTCCCAGCCTCAATTTTATGCATGCATATTTTGTTCACATAAAGGAGTGCACCTATACAGTTGGTATAAACCTAGTTCTCAGGCACTATCAAGTTCATGCCTGAATTTAATGACAAATCAGTCAATGACAAAGGATAAGCCCAAGAATTTAAGAACAATAACTAAAAAAAAAACCAAACCAGTGTAATATTGCCTTTAAAGTTTGGAATATGTGTTGATTTCAGTGTGATTACCCTTGAAAATCAGGCATGTAGGTAAGAGTGAAGAGTTAAAATTTATAGCTGGCTTGAAATTAAAATATAGCCATTAATATAGATTACTAAATTAAAGAACCACCATTGAAATATGGGTATTCCTTTTTTGTAACCTTAGAAGCTTTGGAAATTTGTGGGGTTTCCACTAATACAAAAATTTGTCTGCTTGTCCCCCACACCTGATTCAAATACAGTTGACATACAACTATGCTCTGCCAGATCTTAGTCTTGGTTAACTTTTCCACTGTTTTGGCTGTTGTCCAAGATTTCTGAGAAGTTTTTCTATCATTTTGGTATCTGCTTATGAAATATTCCACAATTCTAGACAGGTTTCCCCTTTAAAGGCAGAAGACATTGCTTCTTAAACACTTACCAGAAGTAAACAGAGTAGGGAAGTTCACGCTATTGATTTGCTCATTCTACTGATATTCTTCCCCATCTCACAAATGAGCATGTTGTTCCTGTTGTCTTAGGGAGAAAGACCAAAACTAAGAATTTTAATATACCTCCCATCTGGGAACACAGCTGTGAACTATCCCTGGGTCATTGGCAGGACCTTATTGACTTTTTTTTTTTAAAAAAAAAAAAAAAAGCTAAGAAAATGAGGTGGTGGGTAGGAAAAAGCAAGAGACTGGGATATGCAAGATCATTATGTAAAAGATTGCGCCCTGCAATAGATGCAGTCCAATACTATGCAGTAACTTTATTGTAAAGTTATAAACAAGTATATCTTCTTGAAAAGTCTATAGTAATTTTAGAAAGTAGAAGAGTAAAAAATACATCTGCAGACACTTCACAGTGGACAGACTAATAGTTGGCTATTACTCAGATTGTATGTTTGGACAAGTTAATATGCATTTGGATCTAAGCAGATAGAAGGGTTTTCTTTCTATCTAGAAGGGAGAGATTGCAAGACAGATGAGTTATTCCTAATTCACTGCTGTACATGACAAATTAGAGCTTCTCATACCGAGTTTTAATAATGAATGATTAGTTCCTGACACCAACCTTGACAGATCATTACCTACAGCAGAACTATCAAGTGTTGGTATAGTAAAATATTTCTTACACATCAAAACTTAAGAAAATCTGTCCTACTTTGAGAAACTTACCATAAATTTTGTTGGCTTGTATTTAAAGCACAGATAATTAACTCTTATTTACAGAGATAATATTTCTAAACACAATAAATTCTAAGTAGAAAATTTCCCTCTATAATTGTCTCATGACTTAAAATGAGCAGAGGACAAGAACCAGTTTAGCATTCTCAGCACTAAGCACATATGAAAAATTATTCTCGTCGGATCCAGTCAAATCCAGTTCACTGCTGGGAATAACTCCACATGCATTTTTTATGTGTAAATCTATATATATCTCTATATATTGTACACAGGAGACCTGGACTACCAGCCATTTACCATCTTTTAATAAAACAGTAGTGCTAAATGTAACTGGCTGGTAAGCATTAGTCAGAAAAAAATGTCAATATGGCTGCAAAGATTCTAAATGATGGAAAAAAACATGTCCTGCTTTCAAAATAAGTCAGTTAAGGCTTGTGATATATTTTACTTTTAAGTTACTCCTTCTAGTTTATAGATTAATGTAATACAACCTTCTGGAGCGTAAATATGTTGCTATGGGTAGAATAGGCTGGGCAACTAATTTCATTGAAGTTCACTGCGTAGGAAAACACAATACAGGGCTTCAAGGAAACACTTCAAATAGTTCAGTGTTAAATATAATAAATTCAGATTTGCTTTCAGAATGTTTTTCACCAGATCATGAAACTGATTTTTTAAAAAAATAAATCTTTGTCAGCGTTCCAAATAAATACAAGTCCCAGGAATATCTCTGTTCAGAACTTAACCGTAAAGTTTTTAGTGGTTACTGTATGTTAAGAGAGGACATATCCCTTAAATTCACAGTTCTCCAGAGAACACCCTACCTGGCCCTTTTTCTCAGGATCTTCTACATGCAGTATTCCAAACTGTTTCCACCTAAAAAATACCTTCCTATGCTCTGTGAGAAAGCAGAAGTGATGAGGTGGGGTTGGAATGATGAACTTATTCTCCTGAAAGAGACTTTGCACCTATGCTTAGCTGTGGCAAGTTCAAGTTCAATTACAAATTTTTTGTTTACAGTTTAGAACACATGTTGGGATTAATTCTAATAAGCATAAACAATTTAGACTAATTTAAAGTTTAAAAATCCAGCTGTAGAAGACAGATTTTCCAGCCCTACAACTGTATATCCAAGCTTTTTAAAATTATTAAGTTGAAAAGAGAGGGACACCAGGTTAGGGGGGAAACATGAAAATAAAATTATTTCACTGCAAAGTCTATTAATGTAAAGAGGTAGCTAGCTATAATATGATGGAAGAAGCTTGTCACTTCCAAATTTACCTCTTTTGGTTGGGAAAACTGTATGTACTTATGGGAGCAAATGGAATCAATTGGTTCCACGCACATGCAATACAGCAGCACGATACTGAACCAGAGCAGAGCGGCCTGCGGGACTCTGCATATAGCTGTTCTCCACAGCTGTTAATAGGCTAACCTCTTGATAGCCCATTCATCCTCAATTACCTCCATGGGTCACCAGAGTTCACTGATGAGCTGTGACAAATAAGGAGAACACTATAACTAAGAACATTAGATCTACACAAATAGCATTTAAGTTAAATAGAGAAGAAATCCTCTTACTTAATCCAGTACATCAGCTCCACAGTGTCTGGGTCATAGAATTCTCTCAGCTCTAACAGTTCTTCCATTATTCCTGGCCAGAACTATAATGAAAATAAAATAAAGCAAATTGAAGAGAGAATGAACAAAACAAGTTCTGGATGTTGAAACATATTATTTCGTCTTTGCTGGTAAATGATCTTGTCCAGCTCATGGATAAGCTGCAAAACATAAGCATATCTACCCTTCTTAGGAGGGATAGGTGGCTGTCATTGCAGTATGAATATACAGTTTCAGAGTTTGAGATCTGCAGCTCCTGCCAGATGACCAGAAGGAACAGAATTACTGGTTGTGGGGAGCCTGAGAAGAACAGCTTTTCTGAGCTGTACATCACACTGGAGGTTTCCAGAACTCTATTAGTTAACACCAGTTAGTATCTTGATGGGAAACTAAAAGTTGCCACCAAATATGACTGTTGTGCATTTTATCTACAAGTGAATCATTTCAGTTCCCTGGACTATAGGATGAATGTTAATGTTTTAAGTTATTTCTTGACAGACCAAGCTATAGGAAAAGGAAAAAGATGAAGAGGCATCATGTAACAGTTCAACATGTAACAACCAAGCCATTAAATAATGCCCGTGATTACAGGAGAAGGAAAGGCCCCAAGAATTGACATTAAGTTTGGAAAGGCAACCTACAACTAAATAAAGGTAGGAAATCTGTATCAAAAGTTAAAATCATTAGATGTGCTGTGGATGCCATTAATGGCATTTCAGAAGATTAAATTAAGAGAACCACTGAAGTAAAAAATAAAAGTGTGACTGAACAGCAATATCCAATAGACTATTGGGGGAAAAACATTTCAAAATGTGCTGAAGACAAACAATACATAAATCAAATCTGGAGGAGTGAAATAAGAATTGAAACTGATTCTGACAAACATAACCCTCCTCCCCCAAAAGCTAACAGAACAAAGGTTTATTTAAGGATTTCTTGTTGTTTAAGCTAGTGAATATTCAAGGACAAAAGGGAGCAATTAAGAGAGATAATGTCAATGCTAATGACTAACTGATTGCTTTGCATCAGTCTTTACTACAGAAGATGTTCTGGTGAAACCTAGTCCAAACCTGCTGTCTTTAGAAAATAAGGATTCCTGGCTTGCAAAGTGAAATGTCACATGAAAGTGTGTAAGAAAACCTGCCGGATAATCTAAAAAGCTATATATCATCCAATTTAGATAATATTCATCCAAGAGTTCAGAAACAATTTGAATGTGATGCTGCTAAGCTACTTAGCAAAAATATACATTCGTTCACTAGAACTGTAATTATGAGGAGGACTGGGAAGCAGGAGATATTATTGGGCCAATTAAGATACTTACTAGTTCAACTGTTTACTCAATACATTTGTTAAATTAATACTGAGTGGTAGATTGAGAAACACCTAAAAGGTAGGTATGGCAGTATCACAGCCTTGCAGTTTTGGAAAGTACAGCAGTATTATATTAGACATATTTCTTCTATTCAAAATATCTCTCGAGAGGTTAGTAAATAAATTAAGCAGTTGTGAAATGAGACTGTAGAGTCTCATAATTTCTAGTAATTACTAAAGTACCCTGCATAGCTAAACATTTTGAGAGCTTGGAGTCCTTCAGGGTAGAGACACAAGGAAATGGGCTCTGCTTTGCTTCTAGATCATGCTGCAAACCTGCCCTGCAATCTACTGAGAATCTAATGACACTGTGCTATCTGCTGAATGCTGAGACTATAATATGGCATCAAGTAATCTATATAGGTTTTTCAAGTTACAGTGTCACACTACTGCCAACTTTGGAGTGAGTACAATCAGTTTTCACTGGAGCAAAGTGTTGGTAGTTGGGCTTGCCATTACTGAATTTAAAAGAGAATTTTGAGGTAGCAACCTTTTCAGGTAACACTATATTTAATTAGTAAAGCCAAGAGAAAACTGAGAAACTTCAGAAGTTCCAAATAGAATAGAAAAACAATGACAAATTAAATAAAATGTAAAGCATACAAAAATATGGATCAATAACACAACGTAACAACTTTGTCTTGTAAACCAAGTATATGTCAGATTGAGACAAAGTGCACCATGACACAAAGAATGGATAAAAAGAACAGATGGAGCATCAGGGATGTAACACACTGTTCAGGATAATGAGTGGTATGTAAAAGAGGCTTCCAGCTTGCAACATGCTTGTCTCTGGGGTTTAAGTCTTCAGGAAAAGAAGCCTGTTGTCAAGTGGCTTAAATTAGCAACACAGGGATTTCATTCTGGACTGGAAAAATCTTAAGGACTTGTAATTTCCAAAAGGCTTAAAAAACACTTGCATAGGAAAAGGTAATATGACATGTTATTGCTGACTTGCATCAAAACCAAAAAGAAAGCCAAGAAAACAGAAAGGTGGCATACTCTGAACTGATAATGGGGAATATTTTTCCTAAATTATGTAATTACTCATTGAAAAATATCACTAAGACCTAGAACTTACAAAAATAAATGAAATAATAAACTCTGAACTTGATGACATGACTACAGAAATTGAATTACTAGATTTTGGTACTAAAGTTGTTTGTTCCCCCACATCCTTGGTGGATGTAAGACAATTTTTAATTTTCAGGAGTAAATTTAAATCTGTTGTGAGTGAAAACACGATCCCAATTCTATGTTGTAGAAAGATTTCAGCTTTCTCTTTCACATTGCTTATCTCTCTGGCTCATGATCATGGATTTCACAGAGTATACCAATGCTTAAGCTTCTTACTGAATATCTGGTGGGATTTGGGTTTTCAGTGTACTTCAATCTATTAATAGTTACTATCTTGAAAAATATATATATTGAGGATATACACTTGACATTTTTAACTCAATGACAGTGATAAGCACCCAGAGATTTTTCCCCACTAACAACCCATCTTTCTCATTCTAGCGAAAGTCCAGAGTTAGACAATTGTGCTAGCCACAAACTTGGAGGTGCTGAACAGTCCACTGATGATTATGGGAGTTCAGTACTTCTCAAATACAAGGACACTTATTTTGAACCCAAAAAGTATAAGCATTAATTCTTTGGCTTCTGAGTGTAAGTGAAAAGCAAGTACTACTATGTTATTTACAGTTACTGTGGTTTAAGAATGAAAATTATGAATGTCCTTAGAGAAACAGGATTAGACATTACAAATAGAAATCAATATGACATTTTCTTTTGTCATTTCTTTTACAGACCGTCAAGCTTACAAACTTTACTTTTAAAGGATAAATACATACAGTACATACAGGGAGCTCTTCAGTGCAGCCAAAGACTGCTCAGATCATTGGTGTATATGTTGCACTATGTACTGCAATAAATGTGTATGTTTGGAGCAAAAGGACTTGGCCATAATGAAGATAAAAACGCAGTTTGAAAAATTACATGAATGGATAGTTTACTTGCAAGGAAAATCAATATTATTTGGCAAAACCAGGAACTGTAGACTTGCTTTAGTTCAGGAACTAATATTAAATACCAACAATTTAGTTAGGAATGCCTGACATACAAACACAAATTGATGGGTATTCTGTTGAGAAGTTAAAAGCAATGGACAGATACAGCTGAAATCTACCCATGAAGAGTAAGTATGAAGTGAAACAAATAATATTTAGCACTCCATTATATACATGTTACCTTCAGCACAGCTAAAGTATACATGGAAATAATACTTCAGCACTCTCACTTTATCTAAAAGATGTTTGTACTATACTAATTAAGAAAATGTATAAATAGAAATACAGATGTCTCATAGGTCTCAAAACACACTGTACCTGGAATGTGAAAGATAGTTAGCATCATAGCTGCATCTGTATCTCAATAAATTACAGTTCAAGTGATGTTATTTGGGACCGTAGTAACCACATGCCTCAAAAGAGGCTTTCGTTAGCTTATCAGGATTAGGCTAATAATCCAATAAAACTCCTATTTTGAGGAATGGTACTAAAGAATAGTTCTTGTGACAAATGTAACCATAACAGGTAATTAAATACAAAATTGCCCTACTACTAGTTGAAGAAATCTAGCCAGGATGACCAGTTAACTTTGTTGTGAATATACAAGCTGCTCATGCAATCTGAGCAGTTGCAGTGCACAAACAGACAAATTCTCATCTGGAAAGGAGAAAGATAAGTATCTGTTGTCAAAATCTACTTGCAATGTCGGTTTGTTTCTACAGGTTTTAGAGAGAGAATATATAAACACATTCTCACAGAAGCAATGGATACTTTCCAGATCTCTCTCTCTGAATTTTTATCCTCACCATTGCCAGGGAATCTGGTGACAAGTTTTATCTGTCTGTCATGTAGGCTCTTTCCTGAAGGCTCGCTAACTCTTACAGCTTTGCAGAAAAGACACACACACACAAAGATATCCACTCCTCTGGTAGCTGAGCTGCAAGAACTAACTTAAGACGAAAAAATACTGAGAGGTGATGTACTTCTTTATTCCCTCTGAAAAATTATATTTTTAATGTCAATAAAAATTATTTCCTATATTTAGAAGAAACACAAAAATTATGCTTTTCAGGCAAACAGAGCACAACTAATGACTGATCTAAAGCCTATGAAAATCAGTGACTTCTGTTGACTTCAGAATTGAATCTGACAGGATTTAGGAACTTCACATCTGCTCATGAAGAGTGGAAGAAAAATTATTCTTAATTGATTTGTCATACTAGACTCACTAATATAAATATCATGCTCTTGGCATCACCCATGTCAAAAGAAGTGTCATTACTGCTGTCATCTTCAGAGCTGATAAAATTGGTAAATGACTTTCCTAACCAGCATATCAGTAGAAAAAAAAAAAAAAATCCTTAAAACTCCTCTAGCAGAATAATAAGAAAATTTAAGTGGAATACATCAGTGTAACTTAACTAAACAAACTGTTACAGTCTCTGACTTTTCATTTCACTATTTCAAAGGGGATAACAGACTTTCAGAATGAACTCTATTAGCAGCTTTCTTAACTGCTATGCTTTACTACTGCCATTTTAACTTTAATAATGAAATTCACCTTCAGTTTCTCTGAAGATAATTATTTAACAGAAGTATTCTCATCTCACAGCAGGTATTGCAGAAGTAACTTCACCATCGAAGTAGCATCTGAATTTTTTGTCATTGTAAATACAGATTAAAAGAATGGTATTCCCATTAAATTAGTGTTCTAAATCTCACTGCTATGACAGACTGACAGACTAACAATCTTGTACATGTTATTATTTTAAATGTGGTTTATGTATTTAAATTTAAATATTTGACCATAATAATAATGTTTCTGGGACAGACTGAACATAAGTATTTGACTAGTTTAACAGTTCTGCACTTAAACACATAGGAGATGAGGCACAACAATATAGAACATTATGATTATTTCTGCTGCTACAATGAATCATTACACAATTTAACGATCTGCATCTTATCTGCAACTCAGTTAAAACCAAACCAGACAACTTGTATTTCCATAAAATGATGCATTTAAATAACACCTTGTAACTTACATATACAATCAGATAAACATTAGTATGTATGAACAAGTAAATTGGATCAAATGAGCCCAACTGATCCTTTACATACAATTCCATATGCACAGACGTACTTGCACTTCAGGTAATCTATCTCAATTTTCAAAATTCAGCTATAAATCTTGTATGTAATTATTTATGAACTAACATCTCTTTATGAGAAAAGGAAAATTCCATGCAACTAAAAATTGCCAAAACATTGAGAAAAAAATTTCTTACCTTATATGAAATGTACAGTAATGTAATTATTGGTATAGAATACTTAATCACATGCATCTATGAGAAATTGCAAAAAAAAAAAAATTGGTTATTCTGATGATATATTTATTTGGATAGACTTAATTTTTAATGTATTGATATCTGACATATTTATCATGTGGCAGAATTTACAGAGTTTGAATTAAAACCATATTCTGATTTTGTTTTCAAGTAAAACCCTTACTGGAGACCCATCACAATGGATTTATACCTATATATTTAAATCTATCTTCAACAAAGTGTAAAACACAGTATCATTCAGTATCTTAAACTGTAAACTACTGATGATTTCTTAATGTGGTGACTAAGGCTTTTTTTAATAAAATTGTGGTCATTTTTCATAGCCACATCTATACTGCCATCTAGTGTATTCAAATGGAACTGCTTAATATATAAACCACTAGAAAATACATTTTACTTACTAAATTTATACAAAAGTACTTCAGAGATGTCCAGTTTAAGAGGACTACAAACAATATTCATTTCAGATGTTTTATAATTCTGAGTCAATTTGGTTTAGATATGGAGCAAACCCAAATTTCATTAAATGCTGCAAGAATAATACTAACCCTCTGTGATGTGTAGAGATGAATACACTTCAGGGTAAGTTTCCATACTTCCGTACTGCACAGGCCAAAAGATGCAAATACACACATGTGGGATGTCCAGAGGTACTTCATTCTGGAATAATACAGACAAGTTTTTGCTGATCATCTGGAGCTCTACTCAGCTGTGCCGATAAGAGCAGTTATGTTAGAGAAATTCTGAACACAGCGTTCTTGGACTTTCAGGACTCTGAAATAACTGAGTAAAAGATTGACTTTGCACTTTGCTAGATGCTCTTGAGAACATCTCTGCTCCCAAACTTCCAAACATTCTTTTTGGCAGGATTTTGGGAAATGCTTCAGTATACAAGCAGAAACACACCAGGGAGGGAAAGAAGGTTCAGTTGTGGCCAGCGTATTTTACACTCATCAAAATATACTCAATTATCTAAAAAAGCCTTTAGTAGCATGTAAAAAAAAATATACCTCATTGTGCTTAATGCCAGACATCCAAAAAGAACTGTGTGAATTAAGTTGTAAGCAGCATCAGGCTTCAGTACTATTGTGCATTCTTCCATTTTTTCCATGAACTGGACTTGATTTGAACGACTAATTAAAGAGATGAAATAAAGTGTTACATTAAGTTCTGTAACACACTTCATATATCTGTCTGTATTTTAAAAAGCATTTAATCCTTCTGAGGCTAAAGAGCAGTACTACTGCTATCAGTCCACAATCTTCTATTATATCTATGATATCATTAAGCCTGATAGCACCAACTTGATGCAGCATCAGGTGTTCTGGAAATGCAATGGGTTTACATGAGCTGTTTTAGAATGAGATAGAATTTTTTACAGAAAGGCATGCTTGGTTTATTGCTTGAAGCAGCTACTCACACAGCATTCACGGGGCTTCTGATAAGAGTGAAGAACTTAACTGCATTTTGCGGGGCTGCACTGGTGTATCTGGATGCTACTAAAGCCGCAGAATGGAAGTAAGCTTACAAGAAAGAGGTGTTGAAAGGACTGGATACTGTTTGATGTGGCTAGGTGAATTTATGTGGAGGGCTGATCAAAAAAAAACAAAAGCTGCTTAAATGTGTGGGGTTTTTCTTTTTTTTGGGTGGGGGATAATTGAGATAACTAGGCAGTGTTAAAAATTAGGGCAATGTTTGGGATTACATTTAGGATTACAGAAAATAAGAGCTGCAGAGTCTTTTGTTTGTTTTTAAAATTGATTGCTGCAGTAAGTTTTTTAAGAGGCAGGTTGACTAGTACCAAAATGCCTAACAGATGACTATAACTTCACAAGTATCATAACACAGTTTCAGAATCAGAATGTCTTAGATCCTCTCCCTCCCTTTCTCCAACTTTCATCCTGTTTTCCATAAATCTATCATGAGTGGCATTAGTTACATGACACTCCTTGAATTTTTATTTAATCAAGTTTGATATCATCCCTTCTGACTTTTGACCAGGTTGTACATGTAAAACCAAGAGGTCTATAATGAACCATTTACTTTTACATCAAATAGCAGTTCAGTACTAATTTTCTTCTACTGTCCTGCAACTTCCTCCAAACCCTACAGATTAGCTATGGGAACTGGCAGCAGTGATGCACAGTTGCAGTATACCACTCCTGCTTCTTCACACAGATTACAGGAAATTCAGCACAGATTATCCTAGGTCATTCCTGGGCAGTTTGAGTACACCACCAGGGAAATCTTTGATTGGGAGTGCTTTGCACAGGGAAAATGTGATGAACTAAAGAAAGTAACATTGTTTTCTATAAAGACACCCTTCCCTTGCTTCCCCTTTCCCCCCAAAACCCCCACCAAACAACCCTACACATACTGCAGAACATCAACAGCAAACAAAAGAGCTTGAACCAATCTAGGGTTGAGTGTTTTTTTGTTTAGTCTCATCACACTGTTTATATTTTTAGCTTCAATAGGAAGTTACTTATTTTGCCTGATTTCTCTACTGTATGTCATACTGTTTCCTAGTACCTGTGGAAAGTGATACTGTGTGCTGCTGTATTCAACTGTCAGTTCCTCAGCCTGTTGAACAAGAGAAAATTGATGGAAGTGTGAATTATTGTTAAAACATACTTTACCTGAGGTTCCGAAAGGCAACAATTACAGCTGCTACTGTCATAAGGAAGAGAACAAATACATAGATGTAAAAAAGTAATGTATCCGAGAGTCTTGAAAAAGTATTTAATGGTAGTAAACCAAAAGCTTCTTCACAAAGATACAGGTTAGCATCAAAATCTCTAAAGAAAAAAGAATAATCCTTGTCATCATGTATTTCATAACTTGATGTCAAAAATTACCAAAGTTTTCTTTTTTCCATGCAATTATAAAGCCGCAGTTGTGCAGATTATTATGAAGGAAAATGTAAAACATAAACATGAGGTAAAAATGCATATTTATCTCCAAGATTTTAAATGAGAACAACTGTCAGGCTTCACTTAGTGAAGTCATACAAAAAAGTAAAATTGCAGCTAAATCATACCTTGTTGCCCCAAATCCAAATTTTGCTTTCAGGAATTTGAATATATGTTCATCTGACTCAAGATTAAGAATTTTCTACAAAGGGGGAAAAAGAAACAGAATGATATTTTAAGTATGGATAAACTAAGCTTCACACAGTAAACAGTTTTTTCATCATGTAAATGAAACTGAAGCAACACAGACTTACTGAGATAGGGTGCTCTGCAATCAAATAAGCATTCAGTTTGTAATTATAGTCCTATGGTCCAAAGGGCAAGTTACTTACTTTTTAGAATAACTATTAGCATTAGTTTCTTACTTACAGATAAAAATTATCCAGGACAAGTTGATTTTAGCTGTATTTTTTATTTCAATGACTTGTCATATCTTATTGTGATACTTTTAATTTCCACATGTACTAAATTTTAATCTGTTGATACAGATCTCTTGAAGAGACTAAAACTCAAAAGCAGAAAACGTGTTACTGTCACTAACGTCTGCATATATCTCTGTGCACAAGAAGCAACTAAAAGTATGGTGTGGTCTACAACAGTTTTATAACAAGAATTTCTTCTTAACTGCATTCAATGAAAAACTTTGCAAATGCTCAGCAGTCAGAATGCAGTATAAATCTACACTTGCTATAAAATTACAGGTGAGCTTCAAGTTATGGATCCATACTTGATTATTTGTGTTAATTTATGATGGTTTAAGAATATGTTTTAAAAATCTATGTACCAAAAAGATTAGTAAAAAGACCTTTCATTTCTAAAATGCAGTCTCTGAAATTCAGTAAAATCTCATTGCAGTTTTTAATGATATTGCTGCAGCTTTTAATGTAAGACATTTTGTAAGTTTCTATATTATAAATTCTTTGCTTACCTTGATGAATTTATTTATTAGAAGAGTCAAGCACAAGACTAACAGTACATGGAGGATAAGTTTTCCAAGCCTATTAAGCAAGCTGCCCTTTTTTAGGTTTTTCTAAAAAGAAGAAAATATTAGTATTTCAGTACTTTTTTGTATGTATTTGGAACAAAAGCAACACAGACTATTTGATATTGCTTATCTGCTAGGCCTGATCAGGATCAAATTTGTATTAGGTTCATGTAAGAAAAAATGTGTACATAACCAAGTATCCAGAATAAATATACATTTCTTCCAAAACTGAGGGGACAATATCATAAAAGTTCCCCAACGTACTGATCCGGCAGAATTTTGTAAGTAGCCAAACAGTGTTCCCTCAGAGGTGGCCCCATCATATTTATACAACTGCTGGCACCCCATGCAGCTATAGCTGTGTTCCAAGATTCCCCTAATTTCAATAGTATTGTGTGCCTTTTGAAATAGCTATTCATTAGACCTTCCACCTCAATGTGTCAAAGGTGTCTTCTGGCTTTGTCAGTTGATAGGATTTTGAGAAATTTTCCAGTTCAAAGCTCCAGATCTGAGAATGGTTCTTTGGCTGCTCACAGGCAACTTGAATCAGGTGCAGGCACTGTCTAACTATAAAAAACACTGTCCTGATTTTAAAAGGTCAGAAAAAAGAGAACTGTAAATACAGGAAAAAAATCCTAATCTTTGAAAGAAACAATAGGTTTCAGTAAACTGAATTTGACATGTGCCTAGTTCTCACAGAATACTTTGTTGGAGGCAGATTCATAAATCTAAGAGAAGTCCTGCTGAAACACGTGTAAAATCCATTTACGTAATTTTTTTGCAGGATCCAAACTGGAGCTTGCACAATCATAAATGTTAACAGCAATCACAGAATTATGGTGTCTGATGTGCTTGGTTATGCTGTAGTTAATGTAACTGAATTCATTATTTGATCATGCAATGTTTTTGTTGCTTTACTCTATAGCAATTCATCTAATTAGTATTAGTAATTTCAGATTATAATGCATATAAATTACTCATTTATCTATACATATATATCACACTATTTAGTACTACAAAAATATTTCAGTACCTACCTGGATTGTTCTTGCTATCAAGACAGAAGCATTAAAACTTATAAGTAATGATCCAAGAATCATAGAATTAAAGAACTGTAGGACACAGACTAGCAGTAATCCAGAAATCTGAATGATATAGAGCCACGTAACCTATAACAATAATGAGATTTTTATGCCTACAAAACTTTACAGTCATATTCACAGAAAAGCAGCTATGTTTTATCATCTATTTCAACATCAATTATTTTTATAAAAAATATATCACCTTGCACTAAATCATTAGACTTAGAGCCATTACTATATCCTTTCTATACTTATGTCCTAAACTAGCTAGGTTAATATTTTATACCTATTTTATACCTAGAGAAGCCTGATGCTATAATAAAGCAGATGAGTTAACCAACTGCAGAGTGAGGAAAATATCAATTGATTAATATTTGGAAGATGTTTTCTATTTTCTTTAGTCAAAGAAGTGTTTCTGTAGACTCTACAATGTCTCTATGACTAAAGAGTTATGGCTTAGTGCACTTCAGTAATCAAACATTAGCTGATTTCTCTTAACTTTTTTATTAGTTTAGTGTAGTCCTTTTTGATCTATGCTAAACTATCACAAATGTTCAACTGAATGCAAACAGTAAAAACCACCTTATTTTCTGTTACACTGGTACCAAAATATAAATTTTATCTGACACAAAGATGTTGAGTTTAGTCTTATATTACAGCAGTGGTATAAGTCAGTATCAAATGGCCCAACGAACTCCAACAGTTTTAAGTAGCACTTTTTTGAAAATATGGAATGAGTGGTGCAGTAAGTCCATTTTAGTATAATTCAGGATGAAGCTGGTAATTTGCCAACTTTTAAGGTAGCAAATTAGTCACATTAATTGCTAACTTCAGCTTACATTTGCAGATATAATGAAGAGTTTAGAAACTTAAATAAACCACATTTATTTTGGTATGCAGCCACCATACTAATTTTCAGTTAAATTAATACAATCACTAATATTCAAGTCTGCTTCAAATTTAAAATGGAATTAACATGAAATAATCTTCATCCTACTGTAACCTTCCTTAAAGCACATTAGAACCTTTTTCAAGTAGTGTAAGCTTTTACAAGGGCTTAAATCATCTCAGTAGAATTTCACAGTGACATTACAGTCCAAGACAATGTTTTAATTTTCTCTAGTATACTTCTACTTCCTAAGATTGACTGTAAATGATCCGTTATCTTCTTAGTAAAACTTGTTTTATTTTTTGGCTCATTCAGTTCAGCAACATAGCGGTGACAATGTTGTTATTTTGTGGTGAATTATGAAAGGTAACTGCTTCTCTTGAGCAACCTGGCCTATTTTCTTCCTTCTCTTTATGGTACAGTGCCTACATCTCACTTTCAAACAAGGGTGCACAATACTTGAGGCAAAATTCATACATTGTTGACTTCCGCTTAGGCAAAGATTTCTTGTGCTACTTTTTTTTCTTTTTCTGGCCACTTCCAGAGGACATATTTAAGCCGTGGTATTAGATCAGCTGTTACAATGGTGTTTAAAAGCAATGCCTTAATAGTATCAAAACAGATCTGTCTAAACAAAACTAGACCAAAATGAAATGACAGAAGTGAATTACATAAAGTGAGATAGAATCAGCTGAAACAAAAATCAGAAATGGCGTTGTTTTGATTATTCGTTTTTACACTTGCAGTACAGGCACTGTGCTTACTTAAAAGCACAAAGCAGCATAGTGTATAATCTGTATTACTTTGGGCATCCAGACCACTGGTTATTAAAATCTTTCCAAAATTGTTAGTTTTGTGATAGAAAGTAAAAAGTTTTGTTATTTCCAAACATGATCTTACCTTTGCTGTGGGAAGCATGTCAAAGCAGTCCAGTATGAATAATGCCAATGCTTGTATCAGCATCATAAACTGATTAAATTGCCAAGTCAGGCTAAAGAGAAACGTTGCTATGAATACAGCCATTAGTGTCAGTCTCTGGAAGGAGGGAAAGAAGTTTTATTTAACTTTATAGTTTCCTTCATTAAAAACCCAAAAAACCTCACCCAAACCCCCAACAAAAACAACCAAAACCCACCTTAATTTTATTTCATTTTAAATTAATTTTAAAAACATTAATATGAGTTTTCTAACTGCAATAACTACTTGGAGGATAATGAATGTTTTTTTTTTAGAGTTATTACATTGTTGAATTTTTGCCTGTATTCTACCATTGTAATACCACTTGCAAGAAAATGTTGAGATCTCAAACAGTTTCAGCCCATAGATTAACATGCAGTATGTGTTTTACTATGCTATAAATAGCAGTTATTTGAACAAACTGAGGAGTAATGATTTAAGAACCATTTGTCAAAGAAACTGTATCACCAATTTGCTTTTATTCTTGCAGATCAGGACAACCTCCTATATTTGTAAAACAAATGGAATCAAAAGAAATTATTTAATCCTTGTGCTTTACAAGCTTTTCTCCTGCGCACTTCATGTGAGTTTCTTATGTTTTCTTAAATAGACAGTACTGTTGACATGTACTCTTTAGAGCTTACCTTTTTTATTTTTCAGTGCTGAGCACATGTATTCCTTTGTATTTCAACTGCATTTAAATGAACAGAATGCTCATCTGATTACTGCTTTCAATGTTAGAAGCTATTTGTGTGTGCATATATCCAACTGCTGTAAACGCTTATTAAGTATTTTGTCCTAAGTTTTATAGACAGCTTTCTGATACTGATTTTACTGTGTCATACTTATTAGAAATACTCACTTCTTGAACAGGCTGTAAATGAGTTCTGAGTAGGTATGTGATGGCTGCTATCTGAACAGCAAAGAATGGTAGTGCCCAGTTCTCTCTTAAAGGAATGGTGAATTCTACTCTTGTGGTGTCTATTCTGTACAAAACAAACGCAGTTTCATAAATTTAAAACAAATAAAACACCAGCTTGGTGACAGAAAGGTTGCAACGACAGGCATCTTCGTGGTATTTTAACTATTTATTGATAAAAACATAAGGTCTACACTCTAGCTTCTTCAACATGCCTGGCTCTGAAAAAATATCATCGTGAAGGTTCTGCGAGTCATCCATTGTTTCAGTACCTCAAATGTTGTAGTTTAACTTTACTTACTGTTAAAAAACTGGTATTATTGATTAAATCTGACTTACGAAGCACAGTTTGGGTAATTTAACAATGAACAAACAAACCCTAAACCAAAACCACTCTGAAAATCCAGCATGTTGGGTTTTCACACCACAGGTAATTTTACTTCATTTTTTTGGTTTGCAAAAAGCACATATAAGAATAAATAGGTATCAATTTCTTCACTACGATCCCAGTACATTGAATTTGAATACTGCTAAACCTGTTAGGAACTCCTGGTCATTTTCTGAATGTTCTAAGATAAAAATATGTGACAGAAGTTAGTAAAAATTCCTCAAAGTGCAGTCATTTACAAAACCTGAATTAAAAGTTAAAAAAAAAAAATAATTCCCTCTTTTCTTTTGTAAAGAAAATGTTTGCTAAAAAGGAAAGTAAGCAACATATCTGAGACATGCTTAGCTGGATGAAAAAAACTTCTAAAATGGAGTTACTCAGCAGCCTCAGATGTACTTCATTTGGACAGAAAGTCTTTATCCAAATTGATTCCATGTACTTATTTCTATTTGTATAAAGGATAACAAGCTTCCATTGCTCATTAATTATTAGACAGGTGGACAAAACAAATCATCTCCAAATATTCTGTAAATGGAAAAGATGACCTCATGAAATAAACATGTGAACTACTGCACATTGCATGTATTTTTTAATTACTTCCATCTTAAGAGAAAGAAACGTTTTACATATTCTGTAATGGACATGCTTACAGATAAGCTTCTTTACAGCTGCTGATTAACATATCAAACAGTTCTGATAGAACTGACACTGTACTTCTATTTTCTTGATTAAGTTACAGATAACAGGCTATGTTACCAGTCTTAGCTTTGTAACAGCAGCTTACTGCTGGCCTAATGCCGGTCATTTAATTTTTCTCTCCAAATTGAGAATTCTTCAAGTGATAAAGCACTAGAACAGCTCAATTACCATATTTTTTTCTCTGAGTGCAGGAATAAGGGGAACAGAGAAGCTGAACTTCTGATGATCTTAGGTTGTTGAAGGAGTCCCTGGAGGTTGGGTGTGGGGCACTGAGGAGAGACCTGAAGAGCATATATGCAGGTGTCTTTAACATCTAAGGGATCCTAGGCTGGAGAAGACAGGGTACATCATCTGGAGATCCAGACACATCTGAAAGATGTAGTCTACTTTCAGAGACCAATTTAAGCCAAAATTTTCTACTCAAATTTCTTGAAACTTTAAAAACCTAGTCTGCAATGTCAGCTCATTTCTGCTTATATTCTAATTATTTTTTATTATTTAAACATTTTTTTCCACTTTCTAGCTAATCTGGAGAGAAGCCTTACAGTTTTATTTTCTTCTGCAATTAATCATGCATTTGAAGGTTTAATGCCTTACCTTTGACATGAGGTACAATTTTAGAAGGATCAAATGTTTAATCTCACTTACCTGTTTGTAATATACCAGCAAGCTGCCAACAACCCTGAAAGCCATGTTCCACTAAGAAGCCAGCTTGTTACATACAGAGCAATGACATAAACTGCCTGAAGTCCAAACAAAGTGTAGATATAAAAATAAACGGGCTCTAGGTATTGCTGTAAAACACAAGAATATCGATGTTGACATAAAACACTCGGGGAGGATTATACTCAATATAAATTAGGTGTGCTTTTACAAATTAAAAAGGTATCAGGAATATTTCTAATTAGAAAATAACTAAAAAGGGGAGCTATGATTCACTGCATCATCTTCATAATGCACTTACAATCTAAAGCCATAAATAAATGCCTACCTGAATTGGAAGAATCCTATACAGAATGCTGAGAAACACCTCCTGGTAAACATTCATTCTTTCAAGTATGTTAATTGTCCTCACAGATTCAGTTTTATTGTCATATACTAAACCATGTAAACCTTAACGATAAAGAGAAATTGAAATAGGAGATTGTCATTTTCCCCCTCCACCTTCATTTGAACAGTGAATAAATTTTTTCAAATATATTTTAGGATCTCTCATCAAAAACTGCAAACTTTGAGTCAAAGATTCAGATCACATTAACTCTGAATCAACATGACCTTCTGAGATCTTCAGTTTCCCTGCTTTGAATGTGGCTCAGAGTGCTAATTCAAATATTATATATTTAGTACTGTATAAAACATTTATTTTTACACTTACATTCCTAGCATAGAATCTGTGGTACATACTGGATCTTGAGAACCATTCTTGTCACTACTTTGAACACAAGTGATGTTAATATTGACAAATGTGTAGTATAAGCAAAATTGCTAGGGAGCAACAATTAAGTATCTAGAAAACATGAGACTGTCACAGAAAACCCCATCATCATATATGATTTTATTGGAAGCTGCTCATTGTGTCACTTACTGTCCAGGGATAAAGCAAAAAAAATTGCCCCTTCCCACAAATACCTCATAGTTCAAATTAAGCAAGAGAAGAATAAAAATGAAAGTAATATACTGAATAAACCAGCAAGGCTGAAACTTTAACAGATATGAAAGTTCTCCCTCAAAGTGACTGCCTTCATCAGAAAGTGAAGGTGTGGCACGGAAACCAATGTATCATTGTGAAATTTATTATGTTCATAACTTAGTGGCTCCCTGGCATATGAACAGAATAAATCTGTCTCCAGTACAACTGTTACACTACCTTTCACAGTTATGGCATTCCTTGTTCTCAACTATATTTGAAAAAATATTAAAAATAGTCAGCTGGCAACGCGAAGTAAAACTTACTTTACAGTTTACAATACCTTGCTGGATGGAAGCAGCCTGAATCATCTGTTTGTAGTAGGAATAATAAAGTCCACATTCTGTTCTGAATGAGATTTCTCTTTCGACTTCCTGCAAGTGAAAGTTCAATAGTAAATCCACTTTACATGTGCTTTTCGCAATCATATGAAGCTGCCTTCAACTCAAATTCTTGGTGCATCGGGGAAGTCGACCTATACAGTGGCTTGAGGCTTTGGGTTTGTGCACCCTCTGCAACTTAGTTCAAATAAAGGTGAAGTACATGGACAAATTAGGGTGAGGGGCAAATGGCTGAGGTGTCAATGCCTCTGTTAACTGGGGAAATGTATATGCCTTTTGTGATCCTCATATGCTGTTTGGAAACATTTTGGATCTTTTACTATCTTTTTGTAATATTCAGTGTTTACACAGGTGCAGTGACCAACAGCGGGACTTTAAAACTGCATATGCTTGCTCCATGCATTTAACCTTTTCCTCCAGATATAGATTTACCATAGTGTTCTGTGGCTTTGCCACCTCACGGCTCAATTAATTCAGTGAGTGCTATACTTGGGACTGCACCATAAGGCCACTCTGAGATTTCAGCTGTCAGTGTATGCTGCTGCCCACTTGTTAAATGCTGTTTCTTGCAGGAAGCCAGCTGCTCCTCACTCTCATACTTAAATTATAGGTTAAAGAAAAGGCAATTCTTTACTTGGTTTTAGGTATACGTAAATTTATTATTTTTAATTTAAAACTGTTTAAATAATTTAAATTAGGTGCACTTCAAACTATGTCTCTTTCTAGATTGAGATTGCAGCAGGTGGAGTCTAGTGAGATATGAAAGCTCTCCTAGAGAAAACTGCTCTCAGAACAGGAACTTTGCTTTGGAACTCGCATCCTTCTATTAACTCATTAGTTGTGAAGACCTAATGAAATTTAACAAATTTAGAGTCTTGGGCATTTAAACAATGTAAGACTGCATGAACAACCAATTTGAAGAGAAATAACAGACATCTTATACAAAACTGTTTTACTATTAGTGATCTTTCTAGTATATTATATATAAACAGCCCAGCAAATATCCCTGATAAGCAGTAAATTAGGTTGCTATCCAGATTTGAAAATCCAGTGAAATTCCTGTACGTGGTGTAAGCAATTAATTAAGAAATTTAAGTGAGATTTCTAAAGATAATCTTATTAATTCAGCTTTCTTTACAAAAGAACATTTATGAAATAACAGGATGTTACTGTTTTCTGAGATTTTTGTGAATGCCATGCTGGTTAATGCAACCTTGCATAGAATCCCAAGGCTTTCATCTTTCTTATACAGACCCATCTCTCTTGCTGGAACAGAATCAATACTATTTCAGAGCCAACATAAAGCTAGATAAAAAAAATCATGTTCCATCTCCCTCTACTGTCCAGTATAGGATCTTATCTCAAGACATATATTTTACTGAAGTCAACTGTTGACAAACTAACACAATATTAGTTCTGGTCTGAGAAAAATCAACAGATAAAACCGCATCTGATTCAATATAAGTTCACAATTAAACTCTCCAGCTGCTCTACAACATACAAATCATTGTGATACCAGCAGAAGAAACTGACATTGGCACTAAATACTAAAAGCCACACACTTAGCAAAATGAGAATCCTGGATTTCGAATGAGCTCTAGTTTCAAATTCATCACTACTGCAAAGTTTTCTAATACCAAAAAGTGGCTGATTCTAAGTGCTCATAAAAAAAAAAAAAAAGAAAAAAAGAAGGAATGTTAACATTTGGAATTTATTAAGAGGGAGAGAGTACTCACAGAGGGGGATCTAATTAGCAAAAATGCATTCAAACATGATTAATTTGTAATCCTGGCACCATCTGTATTCAACCAAATGCTATACTTTATGAGACAAACACTACTGAGTTTTACATCTGTTTCATGCTATGATAACATCTGTTTTATTCACTCACAATACTTTTCCAGTTCTGCAGCAGTTTATACTTTTCCTAGTATTCCATGTCAATAAAAACATACAGACTTATGGGTAAGCATTATAAGAGCACATGTTTATCTTTCTGTATATTCAATTTGTGAGTGTTTAACAAAGAAGTTACCGCTGTTCCATGGGAAAATAAAGAACACTATCCTCCATGATATATACAGACTTGCATATGACTTCAATTTATGCAATTGTATCCTAATAATATTAAGCATTCAAAACAAAATTTAAAGGACTTGTCCTCTCAAGGGCAGTGCAAAGTTCTAGAGGTTTAGGTTTCCTCAAACTCCTTAACCAGTTCATTCAGAATACTGAGCAAGCAAACAAAGTCTGAGTTGACTTTTTTGATAAATAAAGAGCATAAGCAAAGCTTCAATTACTTTTCTTTTTTGACAAAGCTAAAGCACAATGTGCAATTGAAAATATTTTTTAGTTGTTCAATTTAAAATCAGAAAGATTTGAAAATAGTCTCAACCATACAAGTGGGAACTCAATACAGACAGCTGCTATGAATGCTCCTGATTGAGAATCATGCCTTCAGCAAATGTATTTTATCCTTGTACATGGTCTCTTGGCTGATAAACTTCATGCCCATCTGTTCAAATGGCACGGTTCCTGTTCAGATAAGACTTTTGAACCAGAGTAAAAGTACCCATAACCACTCAACAGGTACTTCTCTGGAAAAGTACCACCAAAATAGTGGACTGCTCTCCTCTTCATGGCTTATGTGCTCACTTTGTGGAGTTCTAATTAGCTGGCTGTGTCCCCGCCTTTTTTCATCTTTCTTTTATATTCAAAATGTAAAATGAGAAAATATAAGCACTTCAGAGAAGGACTGCCAGGACTATTATCCTGCATGTCTGAAAGATTTAAAATTCAGTATTTTCGTTCCTGATTTCTTGCAAACAGTAATTTTATTAAAGGAAAATTCAATAATAGTTGTCTAAATGCTTACTCAGAAGAGATGAAGAACCAATGAAAGTTCTGAAGTTTATCTGTGTGTGTTACAGTATTAGTTTGCTATGTGGCCTTGGCTTATTCCTGTTCAAGGTTTCTTCACAGTTTGCATTTGAATAAGCAATAAAACAGCTGACAGGAGAGGTGATGCAACTCTCCCCCCCACCCTCCTTTTTGTTATTTTCATAGTAGATCCTGTTCCCAAAAGATACTATATACACAAGGAGCAGTCACTAAACTCCTACTGAAAATTACTGAAAACAGACTAGCCTTTTTATATGTGTAGTGCAGTAAGTTTTCAGAAAAGTGAGAAAGGATTTCTGGTTAAGAAATCTGTTTTGGCTGTTACCATCATAAACAGAAATCTTTGTTGTTTTAATGCACAGAAGAAGATTCAAACGTTTTTCTTCACAACTGTTTGGTCAAGATAAGTGATTATAACCTTCTGTAATCCCTGCTGAAGTGGACACAAACACAGCTTCTGACTATGTGACATGGTATTCTGCATTCCTTTTTTTTTTTTTAAATTCTTTCAGGAGGTTTTGGAATAAAAAAAAAAACAAAACAAAACAAAACAAACAATCATGTATGTCTTTCAGAGCATAAATCACTCCAAGATCTGCCTTTTCAGTTTTTCTGATAACGAAACAATATTACATCTTTGTCCAATAACCATTGTAAATTTATAATAGCAGGCATATTTATTAGTAAATAGGAACGAGATCCACAGATATTGCAGCATCTGAAATCAATGCATTGTTGAAAGCCATATTGAAAATAGAATAAAACAGCGTAACAACAACAGACATTTTTCTCTAGTTGGGCGAACTGTTGCTGGAAAACACCCAAAACTGAACTGGCTTTCTATGAATTGCAATTGAAATTACAGAAAGGTCATCACTACAAGCATACATGTAAGGTGTGACTTCAATTACTTAGAATTTAAGAATCATGATTTCGCACAATGAACTCTTTTTACTTCCAATTTTTAGGGTTGAATACAATTGGCAAACTGCACAATTTTATAACTAAGCAATCACGATGTTCATATATCAATGGGGCCTTCAGAACAAAAAATCCACCTTTTGTACCTGAGTGTAAAAACCTCTATCTAGGTTAGTACAAAAGTGTCAGATGAACACTGTAGACCTCCTTCTACTGATGTATGAAGAGAGGAGTACCTTCATGCAAAAGAAAAAACGACAAAGCAAGTCTCCCATTACTTCTCACTATATTAATTTAGTAGCAATGCATACCCTTCTGTGTATGAATTCTTACCATGTAATTGTAACTTATTGGAAGAAAGGAAAAAACTTCAGGGGCATGTTATATAATTTTTATATCAGAGTTCAGTAATATATAAAATCCCAAAATTTGTGTGGTTTACAGCCAAATCAGAGTAACTGAAAATACTAATTTAAAATCTATGGAAATATAATTGATACAGAATTTATTTTCTATGATTCAAAGCAGCAGTGATGCACTACTGTGTTTCATAGGCACGGGGGTTAATGAAACACTGAATGTGTATTAGTACTGCTTCCATTTCTTCTATATGTTATGTTTAATAAAAATAAAACAAAATAACCTCTGCACTTCATTAAGCAAGGCACACAATAGTCCTCCATTCTGACTTACGCATTAAAATAAAACTTAATCTTTCAAAATTTTTAGAAAATTCAATTAATGTATGTAAAAATATATGCCTTAGCCAAACTATAAAATGTTATGAGAAAAAAGCAAATTTTACATTTATTTTCAACATAATTTCTTAAGATTTCAGAGTGTTACACAGTGTATTTTATTCTTGTCTTTTATTAGTATATGGTATGTGCTGTAATTATAAGATTAGCCAATTCAGAAATGCTGGAAAACATGTACATACATCTAGAGATACTGCACTGTCCACTCATACATAAAGATATGTCCACTTGGCACAGAGATATCTATGTACTGTTTTAGAGATGTTAGGGTGAGTCTTCCTGCCTCAGTTTCACAGGATACTTCACAGGTCCCTCATACACAGTCTTCTCTTCCCATACTACTCATACAACAGTATTTTGTTTAAACTTTATCTCATCCATGTATATTCTGTATTATTTCTCTGCTTAGTTAAGAGAAAGTGTGTCAAAACATACCATTTAGATTTCTTATCTTGCTAGTCTCACTTATGGCCATTAAATGGTCTGATATGGGTACTGGCAAGAAAACAAGTCTAGACTATATTTAAGTTACAGCAGAACCTTAGCAAGTTTTGTGTTAAAGTGAAAGAACAGTCAGATTCTGACTTGGCAGACAATTGCAGAAAATTTGATGAGACTTGACTCATCCCCAACTTTCTTTATATTTGCATATAAACTGCAGGGTACCTGTTTGGTCTAAAGCTGTAATAAATAATTTGAAAACAAATCTTTAAAAGTACCTTTGAATCTCGCTTGGGACATAACTGTTTACAAAATAAATTGCATTTGTCTGATCAATCAAGTCAGAGCTATAGCCTTCTATTTGGGATGATATCCTCAAGAAACAACATAAATTGAGAATATAATCCAACAGCAACTGTTTCAGTAAGTGCCAACTATTTTTATTACAGGTATGTAAATGTTTCTGGGACAGAAAAAGCGTGTAGTGTAGGAAAGATATACTGCAGTGCAAGTATTCCAATTAAATACATGTACTCTTTAAATAACGTCATACATAGACCTAACAGAGTGAATTTTAGGCATCTAAAAGGAAAATGACTCACCTGTTTCTTTTCTCTGGTTAAATTTAGATATGCGTACAGCTGCATTATTTTCCCATGCAATGATTCTAGGAAAAAAATACCTAGTCCTGGATCTTGGGAATGAAAATTCTCCTACTGTGTAGATGTTGGTTTTACATTGGTGAATGCCTGAAATATGTTTTGAGGTTTGTACGTTTCGGATACCATTATATAAAATTAGTGTTTAATAGTAAGGGACTGTGCCCAAACTGTATCATAAGATCACATTATAAATACAATTAAAGAACTGTATGCCAGGATTTTGTATATTGTTTGTTTTGAATTGCTTTGGATAAAAGAAAGATGATTATAAAGCAACATATAGAAGATTGTTGAAATTTTACTCTAGATAATGATGAATGGTTGGAAGAGCCATAACTACAACTCAAGCAGGAGCAATGCTTTTAGAGAAAAATTTGGGACAGGTATTTATAGAAATGATCAAGTATTTAAAATATGGTGGAAAGAGAAGCACAGCTTCTTAAAAATTAAATTTCAAAAAATGACATATTCCATATTTGTGAGCAAGTTACAAGACATATATAAATAAATGAGATTTCAACTAACACTCATATCATTGCTCTACGAAAGCACTGATGAAACTATGAAAATTACTGTTACCTTAATATTGGAAAACCACAGGTCATTTTCATGCAGTGTAGCAACATACACAGAAGTAAGAAGTCCAAGAGAGATGGCAACAATTCCACCAACAGTTATTGAGAGTATTTTCCACAGCTTTCCACCTGTACGATCTTGGAAGAAAAATATTTTACTCTGTAATTGCGAAACATGTAATTCAACTTAAAGGAATTTTGGAAACTCATTTACATGTTGCCTGTACTAGTATAGTTTACATTCTGTAGGTAACAGGACACTTGGTTTTAAGAGGTCTTTATGGAGATGCATTTTTTATGTTCTCACATAGCAAACTGGGAGCAATTTATTTACATACAAAGTGAAATAAGGTATGCCTTAATTGCTAAAATGTAGTTATGGTTTAAGAACACCATGATCTATACAAACCTAGATAAATACCATATCTAATTTGTAAATCTAAATTGGAATATCCTCCAGGGCATCCTTTTTGATTAAGGCAATACAGGATTACTACTTACTAGATCACAAAGTAAGAAATTAAAATCTTCTTCAGACGTCTTAAAAGTGCTTCCTGGTTTTGGGGGGCTTTCTTGGTTTTTGTAAAAAATCCTACTCAAGATTCAGAAGTCTCACCAAATACCCACAAAGAGATCGAAGAGTGGCCAAAACAGCCTTTGATAATGGTGTCATGCTTTGAATTGCAGATAACCTCCTGTTGACATCAGAGTAAGATTACAGATGGAATAACGGGAAAGAAAGGTTGTATTTCTAGGTAGCTCAATCAATTTATTGTACACGTACGTTCCTGGTTTTAGCTGGTTTGTTTCATTTATTTATTTTTAAATGTTTATTTAAGGCTTAATATGGGTCTTAGCGATCTGGAATTACATCTTTGAAATTACTGTTTTATACTGTGTGTGACATCTACATAATGGGTACCAAATATGCAATTCAGTGGAAGTAAAGTCTGGGCTGGATGGGAGCCATGATCACTTCCCCATTTTGTATTTAGCCTAAGGGTACTTGTGTGGAAACAACGTAACTTTCTTTTCATGTATCTAAAATGCATACATAGAAACATTTGGAATTTAGATCAAAACATCCCTTAAAATAAGTTAATGAAAAAACAGCAAACCAAACAAACTTTTCCAGCTCTAAAGATATAATTCCAAACAAAAACGCTGTCAGTATTTCATTACTTAAATAGATCCTTGAATTGAGACACTTAATGTCTCTCTCTTAAATTTACCTAGCTAGCCTGTCCTATAGTCAAAAAGCAAGAGTTTGCAGTTAAATTCAGATTTCATGTGCAATCTGCTTATATTTAACTACAATTCAAAGACCTTCAAATCCTTTTATGTTACCAATGATTTGAACTGGGATTTGTTTAAGAACCTACAATAGCTATATGAAACCTGATAGTGTGTCACTGATATTAAATTGAAAAAAAATTGTTCTCACCAACTTAATTTAGGATTTAAAAATAGAGATGAGATTGACATGCAGTAATCTGCATGCCCTCTGTCTCATCCAATTAATTTTGGTGATAGATATTCAAGTATGAAAATTTACTTGGTACATACCTAGTTCTAACCTGTGCTTAGTTTAGATACCAAAAGCTAAACACTACTAAAAAGCCATATTGTTACAATCCTTTTCATTTACCCACCAGGCAGAATTTTCTCTTCAGGATTCACATTCTTGTCCTCTGAAGGCTGATCTTCAGCCACTTCCGTGCCTTTTCCAACCCTTCTCTGTCTTACGGTTGTCATGATGTCAGTCACTTTAATTCATTATTCTGTCTGACTCCTAAATGGACACATAGAAGCAATGTATCTTCCTACTCAAACATTCACTTAATACTGTACGAAATATCTGAAAACAGAACCATATTTTACTGTCATCAGAGACTTTGACTTACAGGACTACACTATAGTTGTATCTTACAAAAATGCAAAATTTTAAAAATTTTTATAACTCAGAGTGAAAATGAAAGCATAGAAAACATTATTCTTAAATTTGTAAAGACTTAATTTCACAATTTTACATACCCTTGCCCACGTTATCAGAATGAGTCATTAGTTTGACTGCCCTCACCTTTGGCCCTTGACTCAAAATGCACATCAGGCTCCACTTTGACAAAGCGTAAGCCTTTCATAGAAAAAAATAGTCCTTTTAGGGTATTTTAGTTAGGCATCTCAAACAGGAAAATCTTGGCTTTCAGGAAATCCCCCAAAATGATGCCGGAGAACATGTGCTACAGAAAGCTAGAGAGATGGCATTAAAAAAAATCCTTCACATTTTATATTATTAAAGTACCATAAAATTTGAGAACATTACAAAAAAGACAAAGAACAGTTAGTCCTTCGTCAGTTTGCAGGTGCTCTGTGAGCATGGTTCAGACATAAAACTGCTTCCACCTGTCATCCTACATTTGAAATTCAGGTGTCCCATCCTAAATGCAAAAATCTGCTGCCATTCCCTGAGCACGAACGCTGATCTTTGTGTTACCACTGGTGTGAGTAACTGACAATGCTCTAGGAAATGCCTCAACTGCAGAACTTTGTTTTAAAGCTTCTGCGGTGGATTTAGCTTCTTCTCCTTCCCGCACGCCCAGGAAAACACACGGAGGGAACTATGTGAGTACATATCCAAGCTGTTTTTAAATAGCTGGTTTCTAGAAAACCTGATAATTAACTAATGCCGGCAATTTGGTCATCATAACCATGCTCTTTCTTAGCGCTGCCAGTCTCAGCCAGCTTCCCTCACAGCTTTACGCCGAAGGGGAAGGCTTTGCCGCCACACGCAGGGAAAGCCTCGACAGGGCGCCGGGAAAGGAACATCCCGCCTCCGTCCCCACAGCTGCCAGAGGTGAGGCGAGGCGAGGCTCGGGACGGCGGGGCGGGGGCAGGCTCTGCGGCTGCGGGCCGGGCCGCAGGGGACGACAGGGAGCCCGGGTCAACGCGACGGCCAGGCGAGAGGGCGGCTGAGGGTGAGGGCGCCTGAGGCGCCGCGCACCGACGCGATGAGGGAAGTGGCGCCGGAGGCCGGGGAGGGGCGGGGAGGGGAGGTAAGAGGGCCGGGCCTGGGGCCGCGGCGGGCCCCGGGCAGCTCCGCACAGCGCCGCCTTCCCGGGACCGGCGGTGCGGCTGGCTGAGGCCTGCGCGGCCCGGCCCGGCCGCGGCCTGCTCGGCAGCGGCTCCGCCGCCCGCCCGCCTCCTCCCCTTACCCTCCGCATCCCCCCTCCCGGCGGGGCCGATACCTGCCGGGCTCTCCGAGGGCTGCGGGTTCGTTGCGGCGGGCCGGCGGCTGCTCCTGCCGGCGCTGCCTGCGCGGAACCGCCCGCGCCGCGCCCCGACGCGGGGAGGGGAAAGGGAAGGGGCGGGGTGGGGGCGGCCGCGGCCGCGGCGCCTTTTGTTCGCCCCTGTCAGGCAGAGCGGCGGGGCTGCAGCAGCCGGGCTGGGCCGCGCCGCGCCGGCGGGCGGAGCTGCGGGCTGAGGCCGGGGCTGGGCTGCGGGTGGGGCGGCACCTGCCTCGGGGGGCGCGGCTGCCTTCCCCCGCTGCTTTCGGGCTCTGCGGAGGAAGGAGCACGGCGGGGACGAGGTGGCTTGCGAATGCAGGGGCAGGCGACATCGCCCCACCCGTCAAACTCGTCTCTCCTCACCCCGGCAGGGATTTAAGTAGTTTAAATTTTCGAAGGCGGGCTTGCGGCGGGCCGGGGCGAGGGCCCTGCGGCTGGCGGTGCTATAATCATCCCGGTAATTCGGAGCACTGGCGCCGTTGACATTAGAAATCAGGAAATTCTTCAGTATCTGCCTTTGCACACTTAGTGTGTTTTATAAGTATTTTAAAAGAACAAACAAAATAACCGACTTCCTCTGATTAAGCTCTTCAGTTAAGCGTTTCTACTGTAAGTCAATTTACAACAGACTAGACATACTTCTCTTGGTTTTTTTGAGCATCAAGGCAGATGGTACATTTGTAGGGAATGTTTAAGAATATGCAAACTGAAGAATTACGGGCTTTACAATGGGCATTAGATGTACCTTATTTGTACATGTCAAGTGTTTGTTAAAATTAACATGTTTTTATACAGATCATACAAGTGATTTTACAGTGTAAATAAAAGCAAAAATATATTAATTGTGTGTATGTTTTTGTGTAAAAGAAGTCAGATAATGTACTTAAATTTCTGAGAAGAATGCTGTGGAAGATATTTCCTACAATGGAAATTTCATTTATCTACTACCTATAAAGAGTCCAATGCAAAGTAAAATCTACACAGAACAAAAAGTTGCATAAATGGTTTAGAAAACATAACCATTTAAGAGCTTTAGAAATTCAGTAGTTATGCATGTTTAATAAATTAAGACCACCAAAAGCCTGTTCTCTCTAGAACCAAAACTTGGGTAGATGTTGCCTTGAACTAAATGTCAGGCTCTGTAGCGTGGTTGTCAACTGGCAGTAGTAGAGAAGAGAGGGAGTTACAGTTAATTATGAATTATGAATTATAATAATAAATTATAATGATTGTGGTTTATGACAATGTGCATATATGTAATATGTTCGTATGTGATAAGCTAATATGGTGAGTTGAAGAAGTTCTTCATTTTGTGGAAGTGATTCCAGATTACCAGCAGTACAAATTCCACTGACATTCATGAACTACTAATGCAATCTACACCGTGATGGAATGGGAGAAAAACCCTTGGCCCTGATCCCCTGCCTGGAGGTACTCAGAAAAGATGGATCAGATGTTGTTTTGCCTAATATTATAGGGATGACACCGGAAATACAATAATAGTTGGGAAGGATCACACTGCAGCATTCTTTACTGCCTCTTTTTATGAGGGACTAGAGCAATGTAAGTGTAAAAAGAAAAAAAATCCTATGCCATGAGGGAGCTACACCTGGGAAATATTGGTCAAGGTATGCTCACTGAAACAATGTATTTGTTAGGCAACACCTCTATTGATAATGAGATTTAATGTTTTAGGTTGGGAGTATGCAGAAAACCTAAAGAACTTCTAGACTGATATTAATCTGTGAGAATTGTATTGTAAAATTTAAATTAAAATATATCAAACTGTTACAAGCAATCAGTAATACTGTCTTATTATGATACTGTAATGCTGGCTTTATACTTGCCAAGCAGCAAAAGGATATTATTTATCAATATTTTTGTTACTCATTGTGTTCCAACTTGTGTATGGTAGCAAAGTCTTAATGTTAGTACCAGTTTACCGCCAATCCCAATGAATTTTAGTCAAGCATCTATAAAGCATAGTGTACAGGAAATAGTTGAATGAGACTTTAAATTAAATTTATACTATTTACATTTGTGTTTTCTCTTGGATTGTCACATTCAACACTGTAGAAAGAGCTACTGTGAACTAGAAACACGGGAGGAGGACTAAAGTTCTGCCTAAATAAATTTTGAGTCTAAAACCACAGTCTTTTTAGTTGCTTTTCAGCAGCCATGTAATGTGCTGGAAGCATGTAAAATTTCTAGATTATCTCTTTTTTCAACTTTTAAAGTTTGTCAGGTACCTGAAGTTTTGCTTTGGGCAAAAGTATCTTAATTTTACTGATTCTGAGTTTTTTTTACCTAGCTAAGTCAAGTCAATATCAATGGTGTTCCACTTTATGAGCAGCTCGGTGTGAGAGCTCTTTTCCAAATATGCCTAGAAGGGACTGCAAAAAAAGAACCGTTTTGCATTAGCTTTTCTGCAGTAATTCTGACCGTAAATACTTGCCAAAGATACAGGACAGTGATTCAAATCCCATTGATGCGTGGTAGGGCTCTAACCCATTTTCTCCTAATTCCCAGGAGCATTACAATCATCAGAAGTTAGGTCGGTGCAGCTCTATTCCTACAGGCGGTGCGTCCAGCCCCGCTTCTGCAGAAGCTGCACCGTCCACGAGCATGCATGGTGCCCTCTCTCCTGGGAGCACAGCCCTGCCCTGGGCTGGCCAGCACTAGTGAGGAGGGAAGGGGTCTGGTAAGATGTGTGTTTCACAGCAGATAAGGTGTCTTGGGATACTGGTTGCATCACACACAACCAGGTTATTTATGGGGGGGAAGTAACTTCTGATGAGGCTCTCCTGCTTTATTACGCTGAAGTGAGCAAGGTATTTTAGCCCAGTGAACAGGGTAATACTTGGATGCCACTTCCTACTACAGAGACCTTTTTCCCCATATTTTGCATTAGAGAAGATGTGAAAAAGCTGCATGACAGAGCATTCTGTAGCACTGCATCTAAACACATTTGTAGTTCCAGCTTTTTTTACTTCAACGTATTTGGCCCAGGGCCATAAGAACGGGAAAAAAAAAGAAAAAAAAAAGAAAGGCCTGGTTATGTAAATGTAAACCATGTTAATACCAGCAGTGGGTACTCTGGCGATGCTTTCTCTTTATTCTCCTTGGCCAGCAATAGCAACTGAGTTAGACTTTATTTTTTTCTGAAAAGGATGGGAAGAAAAGCCTGAGCAAGGCCAAGAAATATGCTGTATATTGAAAACTAGGTTGCAAGATGTTTTAGCTTATATGATGGACAAGCAAGAGTCAATCACTTACCTGAAAAAAGCTGTGTAATGCTTTCACTCCATTTAAATTAGGCAAAAAATTTCCACTAGCTTCATTATGAATTTTGAAAATGCAGTTCTGTCCTTCAGAATTGTCCCATCATAACTGCATGCGGGCTTACAAGTATTTTGAATTGATATATCATCTCAGATTTCATCATTACAGTTACTTTCATAAAACTTGTATTAACAGTATTAAAACTGTAATAACTTGACACAAGAGTGAGAAATAGCAGTAAAGTATTTCAAATAATTTTTGATTTAAACTGATTCCCATCTCACTAAACGCTGGTTCAGTGTTTGAATTTTCCATATTCATATTTCATACAGGTCAAATAAAAGTGACTAAAGTGTTTAACAAAAAAAGTTTATTACCAAAATACAATATTAAAGTCAATACGTGACAAACTCCTGTAAAGCAAAATAAATTATTCTAACATTGTACAGTATTTCAGAAGGTAGTTAAAGTAGTACTACAGACTTTGCTTCATAGTTCCAAACAGTCCTCTATCAGGAACACAATCCTAGAGAGAGCTTAAGGCATGCAGCTTAATGTGCTGGATAATTTTATAAAATGAAAGTCATCCTATTTAATAAGATACAGTATCAGAATTAACTGCAGTCTTTACATGTCAGTTTTCTAAATTTTTTATACTTTGGCTATAAAAGCAGTGCCATAGTGTTACAATACCTTTTCTTAAAAAAATACATGTACCCATGTCCATGAATATCAAATGCAAATGTAAATTTCTATTAAATATATCTTAACAAATGTTACTTTGAGCACCAACTGTACATTTTTTTAAATGATTAAACAAGTGCTTCTGAAAGAGGAAAATACAATAACTTTGACTGAATCCCATTCTATTTTTCCAGGCCAAGCATAAATCAGAAAGATGAAATATGCACCTATTTATCAGTATAGTCTAGTATGAATGAAGTTTTCTCTTTAGTAGAAGTATAGCATTTAAAACAAAGCTGCAAGTTACAGTTCATATCACAGAATAAAATCTTATTTAAACAAACAGCAAGTGAATAGCTGATCGTCTGATAGTGCTGTAACAGAAGATCCAAAAATATTTTAAAAGCTTAAAGGGGAAGACCGCAGTGTTGGTGACTTTGAAATGTGCTTAAAAACCCTTACATAACATGCAGCCAAGCCAACCATACACTTTCTAAAGCAGATAACCTGAGGAATAATACGCTTTCAGAAAAACTAAGTCTATAATTACTTCACATGCAGAACTTATGATAAAGTTCATGGGAACTGTGAGTGGGTAACTAATAGCAAGCAGCATGAAGACAGTTAAAAAAATAAATCTATGTGCATGTGGGAAATAATTATTTGCTGGCATTTGTTAGGATTCATAATGGTTTTCAGAGGCAACTAACTTCCTACTATTTTATAGGAACACATGGTCAAAAAGAAAAAAGCAATAAGATGGCAAGGAACAAGTGAATAGATGCATCCTGCTTAGTAATCCCATTACAATGAGTCCTGGTGCATTATACTTAATGCTGCAAGTGTGGATTGCACATACACTAAAACTGGTAATTTTCATTCAAGGTTACTTGCTTTTTAAGTCTTGGTTCACTGCTATCTCCTTTTTAGCTTATAAATGCAAGTTTTTCACCTTTTTACCTTTCATTAGCTGAGCAACTTTAAAATAATTATCCCTTTACACAAAAATAACAATGTGGCAAAATATTGTTTCTGTGAATACTGACTGGTAGTTTTGCATTACTACAGATCTCATTATACCTTTAATTTTTTCAACAAATGGGATCTGTGAATGAGAAAGTTGAGATATATTCCAGATAATGTACTATTTTCACATGAATTCTATATTGAAGGTAAAATATTGGTGTTGACAAGACAGTATGAATATCCCATTAAAAGTTTACTATTTCTAATTGAATTTGAGTTCATGTGAATAAATTATGTTTTTCAAATGTAAAATCTATCCATGTAGGAATATGAAAAATAATTTTTAACTGAAAATAATGTATTTGCCACTTATAGCCAGCAATAGCACAATAGACTGTATACTACATATGCTACCTTCTTAGATTTACAGTTGTAGCTTATTCTGCTAGCAGAAATGTATAAATAAAGTAACCATAAAATACTGTTTTTCCAAGAGTAAGTAATTTTTTAAGTAATGAGTTACTAAAAATCAGGTAACTGCATCCCCATGTCAGGAACCAGGCATGCTTCTGTGCACCTGCCATTCATTAAAAGCAGAAATACATGCCTGAACTAGAAAGTTTAAATCTGGCTGCTAAAGGACTTCTTTGGACGTGCTGCTACTGCACTGGACTGAAGCATATATTTCAAACAATTTAAGTAGCCAACTTTATAAATAACCTCAACAAAGTTGCCAGGTAATTAGCCAGTATATTAACATTCCAAACTGATACACAGATCAATGTCTTCTACTGCAAACTGCTGTGACTGTAAGAAAAAAAAACACATCGCACTGTAATTTTAGAAGCTAAAGGCTTTAAAACAGAGAG